CGGCAAAATATTTGAAGTAAGTATGTAGATTAAGATCATCCGACTTTATTACACTGATGAGGTGTATTGGGTTCTCGTCACTTGTCTCTTTCTGGCTCTCTTTCTCTTTCTCTCTCTCTCTCTCTCTCTCTCTCATTGGGACTGAAAAAGTATTGAATGTAATAATGTTTGATAAATAGATAAAACAGGATTCCTGTCCTTCTTGTACTTCGTAAATACTTTACCTTGCTTACAAGTTAATTGCAAGCTCATTGTATAGATCAATTAAGAGAATAGCAATAAATATGGACTTTGAGTGAGATCAAAATGGGTTTGACATCAGTTTTTCTTTTTCAAAGATTAAAAAAAAGCAACAGCTGGGTGTCGAACCCGATACCTTCCAGTTACCAGGCGATTGCCTACCCACTAGACTAAAGTGTCACATTGCTAATCTCCATGTTTTTTTTTTTCATACTTATACTTATTGTTGTAGATGTAGCAAAAGAAAAAAACGCAACAGCTGGGGGTCGAACCCGATACCTTCCAGTTACCAGGCGATTGCCTACCCACTAGACTAAAGTGTCACATTGCTAATCTCCATGTTTTTTTTTTCATACTTATACTTATTGTTGTAGATGTAGCAAAAGAAAAAAACGCAACAGCTGGGGGTCGAACCCGATACCTTCCAGTTACCAGGCGATTGCCTACCCACTAGACTAAAGTGTCACATTGCTAATCTCCATGTTTTTTTTTTCATACTTATACTTATTGTTGTAGATGTAGCAAAAGAAAAAAACGCAACAGTTTGGGGTCGAACCCGATACCTTCCAGTTACCAGGCGATTGCCTACCCACTAGACTAAAGTGTCACATTGCTAATCTCCATGTTTTTTTTTTCATACTTATACTTATTGTTGTAGATGTAGCAAAAGAAAAAAACGCAACAGCTGGGGGTCGAACCCGATACCTTCCAGTTATCAGACGATTGCCTACCCACTAGATAAAGTGTCACATTGCTAATCTTCATGTATTCTTCATACTTACACTAATTGTTGTAGATGTAGCAAAAGATGTTTTCTGACTAATTCAGAGAGTCGCTTGTTAAAGAAAGAGTATTACATGCTATTTTTTCTTTGTTGAGGGGGGGGTGTCCCCTTTAAAAAAGAGATGACAAGTCAATATTATGGAGTGAAGAAAAAAAAATAACATGGGTTTATATAAAGGAGAAACTGAGACTCGAACCGAGTACATTGCATTGTGAAGTGATCACTTTTATCCACAAGACCATTTTGCCTCACCGTGATAACTGGTTCGCTTTTTGTTGTTAACACTTTCTGCATGCTAATGACTTTACAAAATGTGCCGATTTACTGATTTGACGCTTTCGGGATGCATTATTATCATCATTTTTGTAGTCCGATGTTGTCAAGATTGCCCGTATTTTTTTTCTTTCAGTTACTGATATTACTGATATAATAGTGAGGTTTTATGTTTATTTCATTTAATTTGCAAACTGCTGACTTAAACTTAAAGTGATATGACAAGAGGCCACTGCCCTCACATAGTATAATGAATAGAACACGGGTCTATTCAATTCAGTATATGCTACGAATTCTATAACAGGGCACCAATGAATAGGGAAGCTTGGCTATTCGATTCTGTTTTCAATAGCTTGCACCTGCAATTTTTGAATAGTTACGTAACAAACTACTCAGCTCTTTCTGACATGGCATCAATAATATTAGTGAATTGAAAACAAACCTGACCCTCCCTTCATTGAGTGACTTTTGTTTGGTCAAATGCGAGGATTACCAAAGAGGAGGTAATAATAGCATTCCTGACATTGCAACAATGACCGCGTTATTTTGATGCATTGTCCCTAAACCTACCGAAGAGGCTCTTTGTCCTTGTCTGGGAGGACAAGCACTTTAGACTGGGGCTGTAGTCTCATTTAAAGAAAGGAAAACAATTTCGGGACAGTTCAAAATAATGCTTGGAAATGGAAATTCAAATGATACCGTTTTAAAAACCAGAAAGATATGGTTTGAGGACAAGAAGCAGGATGTAATTCATTGCTCGGCAATCTTGACTGTATTTAAAACAGAGCATCCAATATACCTGATATTTAATAGTACTGTACAATGTCAATTAGATAGACGGTGCTATATAAATGCCTCTTATTATTATTCTTAAATCTCGATTCATGGTTCTTTAAACTTCTCCTATCATTTATTTCCATAACAGAAATCAACTCCTGCTAAGGTCAACATTTAGAAGTAAAGCCGACAACTCTTGATGGAACTGGAATGTGAACAGATATGACCAAACTGTTTAACTTTGTTATACATTATGCTTTAAGATTATATTTATTCTTCGTAGTAATCCGTGTTTTGCTAACTTGTGATCGATTCAAAACACTACACATTTAAGGATTATAGATAATGAAGAGTTACTGTAGAGAGTCTAATCAGTAGCTTGCTATTTTTATTTACATAATGTTCTTTGGTATTTTCTGTTGTTTTTAATAGCCTGATTATGCAAATATTCTACTATTGGCTTGATACTTGTAGCTTTTATGTACATTCTTGTATGTGAATCTTGTAGCATCTGCATGCATTCTATTTATAGTGTTCAGAAATTCTGCTGTCTAAAAGTACATGTAGAATCTACCCATATTCTATATTATTCTTTGAATATATAATTTTCTGTTACGTATGCATATTGCTGTTCTTTGAGTCCAATAAGTACATGCCAGTGAAAGAGATATAGGAGTGAGGGATTTTGGTTCCTGAAAATTCTGAAAATACTCTGGTAATAACAATAAAATATGTCACTGTGAGATATGCACACTCTCACAACACCAAATCCTAAATAAAGAGCTTCAGTGAACAAAAAAGTATTTGTGTACTCTTGTATGTATGATTAATGAATATTATACCCTCATTTCAGCTACATGTATTTTGTTAAATGTAATTGTTGTTGTTGGGTTTTAAGAGAATAATCTGTGCTGAGGATAGCATTAGTTTCAATAGTTTTTAACGTCATCATTGAAAAGTGTATACGCATCAAAGTTGCTAAACCGATGACCCTACTTACACATGTCTATGAACCATAACTATACTGTTTATTAAAAAACATGTTTATTTTGAGTAATTTCCAGATATCAAATCTATGTTGTGACCATTGTAAACAATAATCAAACTGTTTTTGAGTAAATTAGATTTGTGTTAGTCTTTGATTGAAAATATGCAAAACCCAAGTAGCTCCATATAACTAATGTCCAGATTTTAGAATCAGGATATAATTTTTGCTACGTGATCATTGTGATGCTTATACTTTACACAGTATTATGTAACCAACTTATTCAAGTAGATGTGCTATTTACATGTACATGCTTGGAGACATTCAAAAATAAAATATCATTGTAGAGATTATAAAGTTGTGTATTGTACCTCTTGTATATCTATATTTCATTTTCTTATTGGTAAATGTTTTTTGTCCTCCCCTCTCTCTATTTCTCTCTCTTTCCCACACACACACACTCTCTTTTTCTTTCTTTCTTTTCCCCTCCCACTCTCTCTCTCTTTTGTGAGCTACTGTTGTCTCTCCCATAAGAACATTTTACTTCCCCCCTCCCCCTCCCCCCTCCATCTATCTCCATTCCACCTATCTTCGTCATAAAAATACATGTATTTCAATAAGAAAAAATAAGATTTCATGTACAGGTAATTCAAAACATACTTTACAGTTTATTGAAACACCAAACAAATCTATTGCACTGCGAAATAAGTTGAAACATTCTTGCAACGATATTTAAATACATTTACATACATGTAGGCCTATGTGGTATTTATGTACCTAATTATAAAGTCTAGATTACAAAGTATGTCATCAAATATGCTAGAATATATATTTACATAACTAGAATGTAGTGTACATACACCCCTTTTAAAGCGATAAGGAACAAAAAGAACTTGCATTGTTATTACTATAAAAAAAAATTCCTTACAGAACATGAAAGAGAGACGAGAAAAAACCCCACATAATTATGATATATGATTACTGAATATAATGCTTTGTTACAATATGTTACTTCAGACAATTGCCAATCCAGTATTACTCCGCGATATACAACGTTTGTAATTCGGATGACCATTCTAATGGCAAGAATCTATTGTGAAGAGATAATAATGTTGTGTCCATTGTGATTCAATAATTTCACGACATAAAATTTTTGCAACTAACCTGGACTTCTTGCAAAAGTCGCGAAACATTTCCTGAGTGTAAAAGTTTCTGGTTTTTACAGTAGCATCCATAGTCTTGCATAACAAGTTGCAATTAAACACATTTTAGTGGGACAAATGCGATCCAATATGCCTCTGCCTAAATTTATTTCAGATAATTTTTTTTTTTAATATCATGAGAACATAACGCTTATAAATGTTATAACATGTTGATTAATCTTTACAACCTTTAATCTCTGATTGGACAATCCTAAAATCTTATCATTTGTCTCGCTATGGTGACACATACTATGTTAAACAAGTTTTAATTCACAGCTAAAATAGCTTAAAATAGTAATTGATATGGAGATAATTAACAAGGTCAAAAAACCTTAATTTCATGTATATCGACTCGCTAACCTGAAATCTAATCAATTTTTGTCGCTATGGTGATGTCTTACATGACAGAATTAATCAATTTTCCCTTTTTTAGTCATCGATGGGGAAATCCCTGTCATATTTTAAGAATAGTAGCAGTAGTACAGGTGTCATATTCAAGTGGATATGTCACCAGACTGTGGATCCCAAGGTCCGCGGTTTGAGTCCCGCGGCGGCACTAATGTCCATTGGCAAGACATTAATCTACATTTGCCCCACAGCCACTCAACGCAAGTGAGGTAAATGGGTACCTGGTAGGATCCTTGAAATGCACTGTGCTGATAATGGCTGCCGGAGCTAAAGCTAGTGTAATAATGTCCAAAAACTCTTTGGAAGCGCATAGAGACTTTATATCTTAATGTGTTATGCGCTATACAAGAACGGACTATTAGTGTACTATGTATAGAGCAGTCGAAACCTTAAAGAGTGAGTTATCAAAATTTGCTTTGTGGCATGCACGCTTGCTAACAAACTTCTGCCAGTTGATCTATGATCAGGGCCCCATTTCATAAAACTTGTTATCAATAACAAGATAAAAACTTTGCTCTCATCCAATCAACTGTTAGGATTTCAGTAGCTTATATATAACAGGTATTGGAACTTGTTATTGATAACAGGGGTGTTTCATAAAGCTGTGCGTAAAGTTACCCATATGACTTGAAAATGAAGAGCTAAATGGGATTTTCAAATCCTTTTAATTGCATGAGCTAAAGTTATAATATATATGCAGATTTAGATTAACCTTATCATTTTTAACAAAACATTTTAATGCAAAGTGTATTTTTGGCTACAATTTAATTGAGATTATGGGAAACACAGTCACGGTCTGTTAAAATGTCAGGAAAAATTTTGGGCATCCCATTTGGCTCTTTATATTCAAGTCATTCGTAAAGTCATGCGTAACTTTACGCACAGCTTTATGAAACGCTCCCCCAGGTTTGATCAAAACAGGGCCCTCCCTGGCTTATCAAACGCTTCATGATCTTGATCTCTTGCTGGGAATCTCTGATCTATGATCAGGGCCCAATTTCATAAAACTTGTTATCAATAACAACTTTGCTCTTAGCCAATCAACTGTTAGGATTTCAGTAGCTTATAACAGGTATTGGAACTTAATTGTTATTGATAACAGGTTTGATGAAACAGGGCCCTCTTCCCTGAGTTATCAGCCGCTTCATGATCTTGATCTCTTGCTGGGAATCTCTCTGTACAGTAAGAAGGTGAAGACCATACCACCCAACTGAATAAATAAAGAAAAGAAAGAAAGAGATAAATTGATATAACATGATAAATAAGCATTAGCTCCGGGCTTTATTTTATCAAATAACTAGGGTCATGGATAGAGTTACATTGGAGGAGGAAAGAGAGAGAGGGAGAGGGAGGGAGAGGGTGAGGGAGGGTGAGGGAGGGTGAGGGAGGGTGAGGGAGGGAGAGGGAGGGTGAGGGAGGGTGAGGGAGGGAGAGGGCAGGAGAGGGAGGGTGAGGGAGGGAGAGGGAGGGTGAGGGAGGGTGAGGGAGGGTGAGGGAGGGTGAGGGAGGGTGAGGGAGGGAGAGGGAGGGCGAGGGAGGGTGAGGGAGGGTGAGGGAGGGTAAGGAAGGGAGAGGGAGGATGAGGGAGGGCGAGGGAGGGTGAGGGAGGGTGGGAGAGGGAGGGTGAGGGAGGGAGAGGGAGGGTGAGGGAGGGTGAGGGAGGGTGAGGGAGGGAGAGGGAGGGTGAGGGAGGGTGAAGGAGGGAGAGGGAGGGTGAGGGAGGGTGAGGGAGGGAGAGGGAGGGCGAGGGAGGGTGAGGGAGGGAGAGGGCGGGAGAGGGAGGGTGAGGGAGGGTGAGGGAGGGTGAGGGAGGGAGAGGGAGGGTGAGGGAGGGAGAGGGAGGGCGAGGGAGGGTGAGGGAGGGAGAGGGAGGGTGAGGGAGGGAGAGGGAGGGTGAGGGAGGGTGAGGGAGGGAGAGGGAGGGAGGGAGAGGGAGGGTGAGGGAGGGAGAGGGAGGGTGAGGGAGGGAGAGGGAGGGCGAGGGAGGGTGAGGGAGGGTGAGGGAGGGAGAGGGAGGGTGAGGGAGGGAGAGGGAGGGTGAGGGAGGGAGAGGGAGGGCGAGGGAGGGTGAGGGAGGGTGAGGGAGGGAGAGGGCGGGAGAGGGAGGGTGAGGGAGGGTGAGGGAGGGTGAGGGAGGGTGAGGGAGGGAGAGGGCGGGAGAGGGAGGGTGAGGGAGGGCGAGGGAGGGTGAGGGAGGGAGAGGGAGGGTGAGGGAGGGAGAGGGAGGGCGAGGGAGGGTGAGGGAGGGTGAGGGAGGGAGAGGGCGGGAGAGGGAGGGTGAGGGAGGGTGAGGGAGGGAGAGGGAGGGAGGGTGAGGGAGGGTGAGGGAGGGAGAGGGCGGGAGAGGGAGGGTGAGGGAGGGTGAGGGAGGGAGGGCGAGGGAGGGTGAGGGAGGGTGAGGGAGGGTGAGGGAGGGAGAGGGCGGGAGAGGGAGGACGAGGGGGGGTGAGGGAGGGAGGGCGAGGGAGGGTGAGGGAGGGTGAGGGAGGGTGAGGGAGGGAGAGGGCGGGAGGGTGAGGGAGGGAGAGGGCGGGAGAGGGAGGGTGAGGGAGGGTGAGGGAGGGTGAGGGAGGGAGAGGGCGGGAGAGGGAGGGTGAGGGAGGGTGAGGGCGGGAGAGGGAGGGTGAGGGAGGGAGGGCGAGGGAGGGTGAGGGAGGGTGAGGGAGGGTGAGGGAGGGAGAGGGCGGGAGAGGGAGGGTGAGGGAGGGTGAGGGAGGGGGAGGGAGGGTGAGGGAGGGAGAGGGAGGGTGAGGGAGGGAGGGAGAGGGCGGGAGAGGGAGGGTGAGGGAGGGTGAGGGAGGGAGAGGGCGGGAGAGGGAGGGAGGGGGGAGAAGGGAGGCGGAAGGGTGAGGGAGGGTGAGGGAGGGAGAGGGAGGGTGAGGGAAGGAGAGGGAGGGAGAGGGAGAGAAGGGAGGGAGAGGGAGGGTGAGGGAGGGAGAGGGAGGGAGGGAGAGGGAGGGAAGGGAGGGAGAGGGAGGGCGAGGGAGGGTGAGGGAGCGAGAGGGAGGGAAGGGAGGGAGATGGAGGGATGGATAGAGAGAGAGGGAGGAAGGAGAAAGGGATAGAGTCATCTTAGAGAGGAGGGAGAGATAAAGAGAAAGGGGGAGGGAGGGACAGAGAGAGAGATTGATTTAATCATTTATTCATTCATTGCATCCACAAGGTTGGATTTCAAATTAAAACCACAAAGTGTAAAAATAATTTCAACAATTTATGTTATTTATTTCTACAAAATCCTGCATGAATTCACCCGGGTAAAAATCTACTTACATGTAAGACAGATATGCAGATCGCCACTCCTCCCACGACCCCTCCGTACTCTGTCACACGAGCCTCTGTAGCTGTGAGGCATCCCTGTATAATAAAGATGATAAATAAACAAATTTTATTAAAGGGAACCGGTAACTTTGTCTCAGCTTCTGAAACAAAATCCTGGATTTAGCTCATGTTGCAATGATAATTATAAACTTTTAGGTAAGTCAGGAACCCCATGACTTTTACAAGCCGATTGCCTGTCTGATTATCAAGATATTTATGATTGGAAATCAAAATCAAATTTTGCGTTTTCCTAACGGTTTTCATAACACTACGGTCTATCGGGGAAAACGAGTATGGTAAAACCGATCACTCAAAGACTTTTACTTTTTGGAGGCACTTCATGATCATTTTGAAGCGCAATTAGTTTTGGGGCTTCAATGTTACACCATATCAAAGACACTGATAACACGTAGGGCCGTGCATCTCAGATTTAACTTTGTTAAACGATGCCTTTAACCAAATGCGGAGATGAAGTTTATTTTTCTGAACATATAGAGAGGCATTAATCTAAAGATCCATTATTACGAAGCATCATTGACCAAAGGTCCATGATTCTGGCAATGAAATACGGTTCATGAGTCTAAAAAAGGGTTCATTTAATTCTGAAATTTTACTATGATGTAGGCCTAACTGAGAAAATATTTCTGAAACATACAATGTGTACCTTTAAAATCTGAAAGCAATGGCTAATCTGTCTTTTGAAAACATCTTTATTACTTAGATGCTGCTTGTAAGTGTCGGCTTGCATGGTGATGTAGATATACAGTAGGCTTGCGGATGCACTCCTGACAACGGATGGTCAACCTGTTCGAAACGTCGAGCCACTCATCCTCTCCAAGCGCTATAGTTCTCCTTAGAACTATATGCTAAGAAAGATAACAACGGTCCTTTTCAGGACTACACACCCCCAAGAAAGATTACCAAGTCAGAGTCCTTTTCAGGACTCCTCAACCCCCTCTCTCTCTCTCTCACATGGTGCACCCGCAAGCCTACTGTACATCTTTATTACTATTAAAAATCTTTGATTCTCCTGCAAAAAAAGATGAACACGACAGCAACACATCTCTGCATACATGTTACCACAATCATTCCTTACCACATTATGCAAGTAGAGTCTATACAGGTTCTGGGGCCTCTCTAACCGGCAGATGACAGGGTCGACGCCCTCTCGACAGCAGCTGGCAGGCACCACATCACGAGGTTTTAACGGCGACTGGTTCAGCCAGAAAGCTGTCATTTTATACTCAACCACCGCGTCTATCACATCACCGGCTACGCCACAGCATCGAAACTACGAAAGACAGAGAGAGAAGAATCAGAAATAGTTTATCATCGAAACTACGAAAGTCATAGAAAGAAGGATCAGAAATAGTATAGATTTTAAAAATCTAGGCTTTCTCTGTTTTGAAACAATTAAAGCCCAAGCCTGTCTGGATATTATGCTACGGTCACAAAGGTTCGTACGAGCGATAATTTTGTGTTCCCGTATTTCCATTGTCTGAAATCGTTCGTACGGCGTTCGTAGCAGTTCGTAATGGCATTTGTGACCGAGGCTTAAGATGTTTTTCTTAAAAATAAAACCACAATTTTCCAATCAATTACAAAAAAAAGTGAACTCGTCTGAATATATTTATATTACAAATATATGACACCTAATATGCTATGATATTGGCATGCACGAACGAATAGGAATGGTTTTGAATGAGTAATGTCAAAAATACTTTCTATTCAGAAGATCGTGTAATGATGTCTGAGTATAATGCAAAAGATTTCTGGGGGTTATTTTACAAAGACTAAGATCGACTTTAAGTGGGACTTAACTATGGCAGGCTGTTCATGCCACTGGTTGCTGTCACCATTAGTCTCTCAATTATGATATTTAGATAAATATTTTTCCTTCAATAATGAACTGTCAAAAAGGGTAATTTCTGTAGATTTGTGACCACGATTTGTACGTCCCTTGAGAAACCAATGACAGGAATGAATATAGAAACTAGTGGAAGAATAGCCTGCCATTGTTAAGTCCAACTTAATGTCGATCTTAGTCTTTGTGAAACACCCCCCTGGTCTGAGAGTAGTTAGATTTCCTTCAGATATGATGCGGCAAAAACACCACACTTTTGTTTCTTTAATCACGTCTCTGGATCTTGTAACACTGTAGTGCAACATGAATTATCTGCGTTAGATGCCATACTTTTTACACATACAAAAAAAACCTCATACCGCACTTTTCCCATAAGGCCCAAAGTGAATACAGTGAATGAAAATTAAAATTACATAAATACATATACGGGTAATAAGAAAAAAGTCTTACAACTACAAACTGCAAAAAAAATGTGTTTTAAAGGCCTTTCTGAAGGTAATAACTAATGGAGACTGCCTATTTTTAAGTAGTAGCCCTTACCCTTTTCTGTATGAAGTCATACGCCTCGGTGTATTCCTCTGCTCCATCTGCCCCATAGTTATCTCTCAAAGACCAGGTAAGGTTCTGCTCCGTTTCAGCCTAGAAGCAGCAGAAACAAAAAGGAAGATACTTAAATTGACTCGATCAGTAACATTGCCTCATATTCTGAAACAAAATCCTGGATTTAGCTCATGCTGGAATCATAATTATGACCCTTAGCCGATCGCTGTCTAATTATTAAGATAATTATGATTGGAAATCAAAATTTTAAAAACCGTTAACAGTCTATTGGGGGTAATGAGTATGGTAAAAACCGGTCACTCAAAGATTTTTACTTCTTTGAGGCATTTTGGAAGTGCAATTTTTTGAGGGCTTCAATATTACACCATATCACAGACACTGATAACACGTATGGCCATACATCTCAGATTTAACAGAATGGGGCCTCGATCTGACTGAGTAAATCGAGGGAAACATATATCAGCCAGATTACAAGCATGCATTATACTTTTTTTCATCAAAATGTGCATCTAATAATAATGAATTTACATAGCACATTGTCCATATGCACGTTCAAATGTACATTCCTATTATATTAACAGATTAGGTGAGTTTTTAGATTTTTTTGACGGCTAAGAGCATTTTGCGAAATACAAAATGAAGTATTCGTAATCATCAAATTAAACCAAACTAGCCTAAAAAACACTGAATTTTCACATGGCGATAAGGGTATAATATATCAACATAATACTTACACTTGCTAAGAATGCCATTCCTAAAATACCGCCAGAAAACTCAATCACAAATACCGCAAGCAACAGGTAGAAATACTGCAATGTAAGAAGAGAAAAACAAATGTACAAAATAAAATGAATGGGTTTTCTTCATTAGTGACTTTGTTTTTAACTTACAAGTTTCTGCTCGCCTTCATTTTGACAAAGTATGTTTTAAAGAACTTTCATGTACACCAAAATCAATCTGTTATTGTATTTTGTGTGTGGTAATGAGCATGCACATACAGTTTACTGAGTTTTGCAATAATTCAACAATTACTACTAAAGGTAAAGACCAGTTTTGGAAATGCCCTCCTCTCAAAAAATGAGATGGAAGCTCTTATTACCAATCATGTGAAAGAATGAGTTTTAACTAATACGTGATCATACAAATTTTGCTGAGAAACCGCCTACTAATACTACTAATTGATATTTTTGGTAAATTATTCTATCTACTTGGACCTGATAGATATAACGCACATGTCGCGCATGTGTCGCGTAGTCCCATATACATCTTTCTGTGTACAGTGCTTGTAACTTTTCCAAGACTGCATGGGCCAAGTTTCTTATCATTTTGATAATTCCAAAACCTTGCAGTACACACCAATACTTATATGCTAGATGATCAACCTTTTCTGAACGATTCCACAACGTTTCTTTCACAATGCAATCGCATGACCATAACTGGTCTTTATCTTTAATGTACTAGATCTATGTACTTGTAATAATAGTAGTAATGACAAAAATAGTGGGCTCTTGCATAGTGCTCATGTCTGTCAAACTTGACACTCCTGACACTCTAGCACTTCAAGGAATAATTTTCTATTTTTTATTTTTATGATTTCAAGGAATAAATTCCCACCAGGTACCTATTTACCTCTCCTGGGTTGATTTTGGCAAACGTAGATAAATGTCTTGCCAAAGGACAATAGTGCCGCGATAGGACTCGAACCGCAAACCATGTGATCAACAGTCTGGTGACTTCTCCCTTAGAGACCGCGACACCTTCACATGAGTAAACAACTGAGTGTATTTTTAATCTTTGCCCCTTCAAAATACTGGCACTCAGTCGTATGTCTAAAAGTATATTTGTATACAATTTTGTTAAGCTGTGGACAATGCCTACTTTTGTTTGTCATTAATGGTCTTTTCCCCCACTTCTATGTATCATACTTTACTTTGTTGGCTGTTTCGTGTTGGTTATAATACGCACAATCAGCCGGCCCATGTATTGATATTATCAATTAATGGTCAACGTATTTTTTTTAAAGTGGAGTTGAATTTGTATGATGGTATTGGCTAAATTTCACACATTTTGGGGTCTAAAATTACCTTCATAGCTATTTTAGGTCCTAAAAGGGCACTAGAAATGTCATAAATAAGAATAAGAGCGCAATAACCATGCACTTCAGTGAAGGCATTTGCTGTCTTAAACAAGAACTCAAAAATCCCTTTAACTATAAGAACTTCAGGAAGGTCATATATCTTATTCCGAACGCTGTCTGCCCCCTTCAACAAGCACTTCTTGACTAAGTAGCATCAATGGTTTCCCCTGATGCCGATGAGTAAGACCCGCCTACCCACAGACGACCTGACAACGTACGCACGTCATGACCTTATACATCCTGTAAAACATGCCTGAATCATGCACTCAACAACACCGTAGTCTGGATAAAAAGACCCCAGTTAATAACAATAATAATAATATTATTCCGCTTTTGTATAGCTCCCAATACATCGATACAACAATGTGCACAAGCGCTTTACAGATATATTATTACCCTGGTCATCGGATTCAGGCTCACCTGCACACAATGTATGCAATGTATGCACATTTTCCACTTCCTGGGGAGTTGATTGTGAGATAATTAAACTTTAATAATCTGATTTTTAATTGAAATCATTTGCCAACATGGACTGAAAAGTTGAGTACAGTAGATTGTCACATTATTATATTTATATATTAATTTGTAAATGAGACTGATTGGTTAAAGGCCAGTATATATGTTAGCACATGTTCTTTGGAGCCTTGGGACCTGACCCCTAACAGCAAAACCAAGTATATTACATAATACATGTATATTCAGTAGCTGAAGTTTAGCTAAACTTGCTAAAGAATATAGTTTATCATTGCATTCCTCCAAAACAGTCAATCAGTGCCACATACATGTATTCCCTAATGCTTTTCATTTGGATGATTTTTTTAAAGTGTCTTAACTTTTGAACCAATTTGGAGAACATTCCTAAGCTAATCATTTGCTGAATTATTGTGTGTTGATTGATATCAGCTCTTTCTGTCTTTATATATGCAAAAATTTGAATAATGAGCTAGTCCTAGATATTAGATTATTTGGGGTCTCAAATGTTACCAAATAGTGACAAGTGTGACATCAAATATGTTGTTCATTTAAAAAAAAACTCAAAAAAAGCTTGGAAACTCAAGTTTGGTTAGTTATATCTCTCTTGTCATGGGAAAATTAATCGCTTTGTTTAGTATCATTAGATAGAAAGTTTATTCCACTATACAATGAAACCATATTATGATTTTGAAGCCATGGAATGAGCAGTACATCTGAATAACAGGCAGGGAAAAAAGTGAAAAGTTGCAAACGACACTGGTATCAAGCACTGGTATTGTAATATGCAGTGCACCACATAGCAGCCCAATATACACTCTTAAAAAAGAAAAGGATGCATAGCTGAACAAGAACAGTGATTTGATCTTGCCCCTTATTTTGATGTAATGCAGATTCCGCCATGATTGAGAAATCATAACGAAAAGTGGAATCATTTGAAAGAGATATAACACACTTTCTGATGCTACTAAACATTGTAATGATTATACCATAACAAGAGGGTGTTTCACAAAGATCCTAAGTTGAACTTATTTCTAAGTTGGACTTAACAATTGAGGAAAGCCGTTAGCATCTATGAAAATATTTTATGAAAGTTATTTCAAAAGGCATAAAATGTTGATACAAATCAATGAAATCATTCATAGTTTCTATTATCAATAAGATTTCACGTTCTTGATGTGGAATTTATAGAAAGTCTAAAGTACTTGAATTTGCGCTTTTGAATATATTTTATTTTGAGGCTACAAATGGCTCTCCATAACTTTTAAGTCCAACTTAGAGTTAAGTTCGACTTAGGATCTTTGTGAAATACCCCCCAAGAGAGATATAATCAATCAAACTTGAGTTCCCAAATTTATTTTGAGGGGTTTACTAGGTCTGATCCAAGCTCTGGTATGGCTCTAAATCTGATACAGTGATGATACATACTAAAATCTCTGATGTGGTCGGTAATAACTTACTAGAGAAAAATTGTTTGGACTTGCCCAAGGACTGAAAACACAGTCACTTAGCTCAAGTCCAAGGCCTTGCTTTTAAAGAGTTAAGGACACCGTCTTATTAAAAGATACGATTGATTTGATAATCATAACTTGAAAGCAATCGCAACTGCTATCTTTTAAGTACACAGTTATGATTAATTCTAAGTTGCGATTAGTTTGAATCAATCAACTCTTTATAATACAGGGCCAAGGATAGATTCTCAATGAATAGAATCTTCCTGCCATAAAAAGATCTTGCTATGTCAGGCAAATATTTCCGCAGGCTCTGTTGTTGATGTTGAAGGAATCCACACTTCCCTGACTGACAGAGCTCTAAAATTACCCAGCTTTTCCGCAGCTAAAGCATAGATAAAATATTCCTTCCCTCTCTGAATATAAACGTAAACTTCTTCTTCATTATGAAAATGCTTAAGAAGGTCATCATGACGGAGACCATCGTTACTATCAACACTTCTTGGTTGGCTGCACCACACACCCGTTTTTGTTCTTCTTTTGTTTTGTTTTTTGTTTTTATATATTATGTAACAAATGTACTATGCAAAGGGAACCTTAATCACAACCATAATGCTTCCAAAGTTTCCTCTTCATTACTGTAGATTATTGCTAGCATCATTTGTATTTAATGACTTGCATAAAATATCAAATATATGTACATGTTTTGTTACCTTGTATATATATGCGTTACTTTGTAAATTCTTTTCATATGCAGTTAAAGATTGCATTGTGAAAGAAAAGGTGTGGAATGGATCAGAAAAAAGTTGATCATGTAGCATGTAAGTATTGGTGTGTACTGAAAAGTCATCAAAATCATAATAAATTTGGCCCAGTCTTGGTAAAGTAACAAGCACTGTACACAGAAAGATGTATATGGAACTACACAAATGGTGTCGGGGCTACTATATCTTGATTTCCTTATCTCTCTATGCTCATTACTCAGCCAGTATTCATTTTCTTCCAAAATTGTTTGGCACATGACATTTATTTGTAATCTTGAACATTCAGTGTAAGTTTCATTTGATTCTGTGAGAATTCATTTTCTTTTTTTTTTACCAGAACTAAAGTTTATCTTTAATGTAGAAATAAAACCTATAATCAAGAAACTCACCATCTTTAGGAGACACTTGTTCTCTAGACGAGCCCCGACACATCCAAGCAGGGAGACTACGAGGATCAATGCTCCACCAAGGACGATGGCCTGGCCTGCCATCTTGAAAAGGTCGTTGCCAAGGAGAAGCGCGACCTGTTCGTTAATGGGGTCCATTTGGACCCATACTCCTATCGCCACCATTGCCACTCCTGTGAACTATAACAAATTTTATAATAATAATAATATATTACATTTATAAGGCTCTAAATACAATGCTTCTAGCTCTTAACAAAACAAGGTACAACGTAAAATAAACATACAGCAATAATAATACATAATTCTAAAAATAACATTGCGGATAATTAAAAGCTTACTTTAAATAAAACTGCCCTATAAATCACAATTAATCAAAAATACTTCAAACTATCATTGAGGATTGACGGATACTAACTGGTAAACTGTTCCATAATATCTCTTAGCACTAGCACTGAATTACAATGACATGTGAGTAATTCCACAAATTAGGGACCCCCTTTGTGACATTTTTGGTGTCCCTGTATCATAAGGAACCCACACGTATTTGTGGCTCTGAGTAAAGACTTAAATAGTGGAGTATGTTTGTTAAAGTGATTCTACAGTGTAGGTATGAGAATGCAATATTATGCTTGGAAATTACTTTATGACAATCTCACTCCTTATGTCACATGTTCTTGAGTGGAATTTATAAAAAAAAGTCTAAAATATTTGAATTTTTGCTTTTGAGTATATTTTATTTTTAGGCTACAAATAGCTCTCCATAATGTTTAAGTTCAACTTCGAGTTAAATTCGACTTAGGATCTTTGTGAAACACCCCCCAGTTGCTTGACGCATCATTTGGTAGCAATTACTCTGTCAGGATCCTACAGATGAATTTCTATCTTCATCCCTGGATCTCATATACCTACATGTAACCCTGGGACAAATCTGCTGATAACCAATCAGAAGAAAGGATTTCAGTAGCTTATAACAAAAACTGTCATTTTGCACTGATGACAAGTTTTGTGAAACATCCCCCAGATCTTAACCCTAAAACCCAGTTGTAACTTAACTCCGACTCTAAATCACTGACAACAAAAATGCTAGAGCAATTGCCACCAGAGGAAATGTCGAGGGATCGATCTACTCACCACAAAGAAGACGTTTAGACAGTAGAGAAAGACACGATAGCACTGTCCTTGCTCCGATAAGGGTGGCCCAGGCGTCGGAGGATCTTCCTCGATCTCCATCACGAGTCTCTCCTTGGGAGCTATGGTGACGGTTGGTTCTTCCTCTTCTATAAATAATGAAAATAATAACGTTTTATTTACCCAGGGTAGCCACTTCAGTTATGAAACTGCTCTTCAAGGCGGGCCCTGCATAACATAATATGTTATTACTACCCTTCTCCAATCTAATATGCTGAGCGCCTAGCTAGAAAGCAGAAGGTCCCATTTTATGGTAAGTCTTTGGTATGACTTGGCCGGGGTTCGAACCCACGACCTCCCGTTCATGAGGCGGGCGCTCTAACCACTGAGCCATTAGTATATATATATATACATGTATAGAAGAAGGGTTTTATTACAAAAATTCCATCGTCTCGGTCTTACAAATGAATTGCCATTGGAATTCAATTGAAATACATGTATTTACAAGTTAAAAGTATAATAGTCTGGAATAGAAGAAGGGATGAGTGAGAAATAGGAGCAAGAATCAACAAAAGGTGAGAGAAGAATGAAAGGAAAAGAAAGGAAGGGTATTAGTAAGAGGAATATATCAAGAAAGATGAGGTGAAAAACATGTGTAATGAGCCTTCTATTAATTAACTTTATAATGTACAGATCCTCATCTTATACAAACCATAAACATATATGTATTAAAAATGTATTACAAATAATTATAAAATACATTTGACAAGAAACATAAAGTATTTATTGTAGTATTGTAGTTATGATACTTCTACCGGTGGTTAAATTGAAACATAGTAAAATTGTGAAATTAAGTATGATCAACGATATCAGCCGTGCTAAACGTACAGTAAATTCTACCTTCGATAAATCGGTCCCTCTATCACAAGGTTAATGTCAGTACATGTATCTCCTTTCTCAAATCGTTGTTCCCTCAGTCAGTCGTTCCCTCAAGCGTAAGAAAAAAAATTGGTGTTGCTCCTTTCTTGATTTTCCTTCAGTCGTTCTCTCAATCACGATCAGTGATTTCTCTTTTCACTGATCTTCCTTTTCCAATATGATTTTCCTTCAGTCAGTTATTCTCTTGTTCACAAGTCTACCGATTATGAACTGTTCCTCTTATTTCAACTTTCCTTGATCTTAAGAACTTGTCTCCTCTCTCTTTTTTTATTTCATTACTGAAAGTTACACTATGTACCTAATGATGGTTTATATTTAGATACAGCCAATTCCTTTTTTATTAATCACTTTGAGATTTTACTTTCAACTGGACAATAAAGATCAATTTAACTGGATGAAAAATTCTTCTCTCATTTTTTTGCTGTAAAATCCACTTGTGTCATCTGTTGTTGCAGATCCTGGCCTTTCTGTATTTAAGTTTTACTGCAAATATAATGACATGTCAAGAAACATGTATCAAATTTTAGATTGGATTGCATGAAAACTGGACTTATCAATTTGCAGGCAAAACATTTTACAATTTTATGAGAAGAAACATACAAGAATCCTAAACATGTGTTGTATGCATTTGCACATAAATAAATATAATATAGGAAATAATCACAGATCCTTTTGTAGAGATTATTCCTAATTCTACAGAATATCGTCAAGTGCTAATGTACAGTATTATTGCAAATGGAAATTTCATTTATAATTTAATGATTTCATCAATTATCATAATAGTTCATAGTTTCGAACTGCCAAATGTGACCTACGACATTGGGCAAAAGTATTAGTTATAAAATTAATCACAAATCATAAATAAATTAAATAAGCCCCTTGAGAGTTTATCATAAGCTTTGATTATGATTTGGTTATTAAAAGGCATGCTGCTCAAATGAAAACAAAAGGGTTTAGCCAAAGAAATACATTATGAAGTGTTTTTCAATATATATGTCTCTTTTATTCATTTTCTGTAAAATTCATAGTTGAACAACTAAAGCAGATTATTATTATCACTATTATCATATATTATCATATTATTTGGCAATAAAGAAGATAAATAACACAACCACTGGAACAGATAATATTACAAATTAAGTGGATAGTTAATTGTGCAATGCCTATGTATACATTCATCTTCACAATAATAATAATAATAATAATAATAATAGTGGGTTCTTGTATAGCGCTCATGTCTGTCAGACTTGACACTCCTGGCTTACACAATCAAATAAAAGTCAGACAGAATACACAAAGACATCAACTCACCTCTTTAAATTTGTGATGGTTCACATATCCACACTAAAATTGTTCCTTCCTGCGTAACTCTTAAAAATCCACATAAATCCAAAGTTTCAAAAGCACCTCCGAAAAACTATAGTTTAACACAGTTTATTACTTTCCATCCACAGGGCCTTCATTCACCTACTTCCAGACTCCTTAAACTCAGTGTACAATTAATTGGGTGCGGTATATCATACAGCCAAATCTCTATTAGCACTTGTACATGTAGGTTTTGTACATGAGTAAACTTGTTTTTCAATGTACAGAGCGAGTATGTGTACGTGTGACGCATCTATGAGAAGGTTTTACATGCAGGCAGGGTTTCCCCCTCCTAACCCCCCTTCCTAATACCCTACGCACTAGCTAGTCTTAGTTTTCTTGTTGATAGGCTATTTCCTCTCGAAAAGGAAGGAGCGTATGAAGGGCACAAAACCCACTACCCAGACCCCCCTTTCATACTGACTTCCTTTCTGTAACGACTAAGTGCCAAACTTCAAGCATCCTTGTAAATCTCTCCTCTTGTTAGGTCCTATAAATTGAGGGGTCAGCGACACAAGACGTAACTCCATTTTGGCCATTTTGAGAAAAAGTGATTTATGTGTCACTAAGCATTGGGCTTTAAGGAGTTAAGTCTATGTTTCACTAGCCATTGACTTCAATGGGGTGTTGGGTGGAGTTAAGTCTTTGTGTTTCTTGGAAAGCCCACATTTTTCTGAACATTTTGATATCAAATACTCATTTTGACAAAATATTGAGTTATGTCTTTGTGTCACTGAACCCTATAAGTAGGTCTGTCCTTTAGCCTGGCTTTGATTCGTATTACAGTGAAACCTGTCTATAGTGACCTCCCAAGGGAAACACAAAAAGTCTTTGTAGACAGGCTCCTTTAAATAGTACATGTTTCAATAAGAAACCATTTTCAAGGGAAACAAACATTGTGGTCTTTGTAGACAAGTTCCTTAGTACATGTTTCAATCAGAAATAATTTTCAAGGGAAACACAAAAAAGTCTTTGTAGACAGGTTCCTTTAGTACATGTTTCAGTGAGAAACCATTTTCAAGGGAAACAACAATTGTGATCTTTGTAGACAGGTGGTCACTAAAGTAGGTTTCACTGTATATCATTTTTTTCTGTTCTGTTTTAGAGTCTGGTCTCATTGTGTCTTGTATGGATTTCTTTGTGAAATAAACCCTCAAAAAAGTTTGAAAACTCAAGTAATGGCTAAGTCCTTTTCTTTCATACATTCTGTTTCTTATTTATTAAATTTCATTTCTTGTCCCTTCTTTTAAATTTTGTTCAAGGTTCCTCCTCTCAATAGATTTCTTCATAACTATTTTGAACAAGCTTTCTTTCAGTAATTTCTTATCTAGGTGTTTTTATGTGTTTCTAGGTGTTTTTAAATCATTGAAAGAAAATGTGTTTCATGCATTTTTTTAGATGGAACCAATTGTTCAGTACAAATATATTTTGTGTCTGCAAGAGCCCAATAAATGTATCTACATGTACCTATCTATCTATCTACCTATTTATTTATCCATCTATCTTTTTTAGCTTTTTTGCTCATTCCTATTTCCCCAATTTCCTTTTCTTTATGATATTTCATCAAAACTGTTTAATAATTTCTTCTTTTTTGCCATTTTTTTTTTGCCTTTATCTTCATCTGTTCCAAATAATTTCTATCCTGCCATTTAAATGAAAGCTTCTTCAGATATTTTTACCCTCATTTCCCTATTCAATTTCCCTTTCCATTTTTCCATTCTCTTTTCTCTCAATCTGTCTTTGATCTCTACAGACTACTCATTTCCACAAGGCTACAAAATCCCAGTTCCCTGGTTCATCTTCCTTGATTAATGGATTTTGACCAACTTGCCAGGTAATCTAGAGCTATCAATAGGCCTGTCTTCATCAGCTCGAGATTGCCAAATATCCCGCTATTTGAACTATCCGTTTGCAAATTATCCAGTTAATTTGCCTCTTCATCAGCCTGAAGTTGCAATTAGTGGGATATTTGGTCGAGATAATCATCCCAAGATATCTTGGGCTACTTTACAAAATATCCTGCTATTTGTCCGGTGCCTCTTCACCAGCCCAAAGACTCGCCCTATGCGCAAACGCTGAGCAAAATATCTCAAGCTAATTTTTCGTGCTCGAGTTTCAAGTTTCTAGGTCAAGTCTTGAGCTGATGAAGGCGCGATTTGTAACTTCTGGATTATTTCCCAAATCAGAAATAGGGGGCTATTTGGCAATCTCGAGCTGATGAAGACAGGCCTAATGATTGCACGTCACATGGCTAAACAAGCGATCTTGTGAAGTCCGATCTAAATATGACATGTGACTAATGAAGAATGATGCTAGAGTTCTTGGTTTGTTTTGATAGTCTATAATACAAGCTTGTATACTTAAGGGATATCTAGATAGGTAATGAGGTAATGACCCGTTATTGTTACTTTTCTCACTCTCTCTCTCTCTACCTATTAATTCTTTCTACCTCTCTTGTTTCTATCTGTATCAATTAACTCAACTGTCTCTCTCTCTCTCTTTCCCATTGTCTATCTTTTCTTTCTCCCCTTTTCCCTTTTTTCCTTTTCCCCCTCTTTTCTTTCAGCCTCTATTTACTTTCTGTGGCTCTCTCTCCCTATTTTTTCTTGACCCTTTTTACATAACTTTAAAAAAATTTGGTAACAAGTTGGTCTCTTAAAGGGGGTGTAGCATGGCAAGTACTTCTTAACGCCATCTACGACTTCTGTTGAAAAACTACACGTAAATGAATGGCCCTGATTATAACCGTCAGCGCACCCTAGCATTCGCAAAACAGACCAAAGTTCTATGCAAGCTTCGGTCGCGACGTCCGTAGTCGTATTATACCCGATTAGCCCCTAGTCAGGCTACGGGAAAGACACCTAGTCTCATCATGCTACACCCCCTTTAACTACATGTATCTGTCTGTTTTTCTGTCTGACTGTCTATCTATCTCTCTCTCTCTCTCTCTTTTCCTCCCTACCTCTCACTTTCAATCTCTTTCTATCAATTACTCTCTTCTCCCCATCTCTCCTAATTTCATTTTTTATTTCTCTGTCTGTCTCTTGCTCCCTCTGTTTATGCCCGTCTCCTCCAGGGAAAAAAATACATGGGGGCTCGGGCAAATTAGGCCCCGAAATGCCCAAAAGAGCCCTCGAAAGTCATAGAAGAGCCCCCAAAATGTTCATAGAGTTCAAAGCAAAACAAATTAAAGAGTGTAATTTTAATGCAAGCAAGCTTGAAAAGTAGCCCCCCAAATTATGATATTTAAATATTTTTTCCCTGGTCTCCTCCAACTTTCTCTGTATTAACTTCCTTTCTACAATCTAGCCTTCCATGTAAATACGGTACATGAAGCTATCAAGCATTACTTAGAACAGCAGAATTCTCATACACTAAAATCCCAAGACTTGATCAAATATATTAGTTATTTGTTTGAGAGAATACCGGTATACAAATTTCATCATCAGATTGAATGTAGACAAGGTATGATTTCTAATGCTATTCCTTAATGTATGTGACTTAATTATTTTTTAATTGTTTGAATTCCATATACATGTAACTTCACATATTCAAAGACTTTTGGAGAGAAAATCAGATTTTCAAGAAAACTCAACACTACCACTGGCCTGTCGGCCCGGGCCAGTAAAATTTCAGAAAAATGTTTACTGGTAAGTACGGTCAAGTAAAATATTTGCTCTTTCATTAAAATTTAATGAGAATATTGTAAAGCAAAGTTTTTGTTGGGGTTGCGGTGGATTACTTGTACATGTTTCTATGCGATTTTGCTGTTTTTTATGGGTTTAAAAAATTAAAAAAATTAAAAATTAAAAGATGAAAAATCATACTTTAAGAGGTGATATAGAATTATCGTAGTTCACTCTTATTATCGTACTAAATACGATTTAATTGTACTGGTCGTCATCTTTTCAATTCTTGGCTTTGACTCTAGATTCAACTCTCTGTTAAGTGAATGCATGTGCATGTCATTTGTACTCCGTTTAAAAGTCTTGTAAATGATTGTAATTATGAGTTTGAAAGAATAATCAACTTTCAAAAAAAATTATAATGGATATCAACAGTTAGTTATTTATTTCACAACTTTGACTGAATGGTTTACAGACAATGAAGATTTCAAAAAAAGTGTGGCATAAACATATACATATCAAAACACAAATACACAAACTCAGAGTCGGATCACACATCAACTAGTCTGTTTAGACTGCTAATATACTCCCTGACATACACAGATATCAAAATATTACAGCTAACATGTTTACAAAGGGCACTTTCAGAAAAAAAAGTGTTATAAAAATACAAACATGTATTTCTAACAGCTAGAACTAGTACAGTATCGATATTTGAAACATAAAGGGGCTTTAACAGTGGGACTTCAACCAGCGATGGTTGGAATTACTTGGAAACGGCCTCATAGGTTTGGAAAACTACAAGAGTTTCTAGTTAGCCCTTTTTCTAAAGAAGCCACCTGAATTTTTTTCTTCAGGGGGAGGGGAGGAAGGATTTAAGATTAAGATAAAAGTTAAAAGTAAGATTTATTCAAGGACCATTATAATACTAAGAGACTCTAAACAACATAATCATCATCCCCATTATCACTATTATCATCATTATTGTCATCATCATCATCACCATTATAGTTATCATTATCGCGATCATTATTATCATCATTACTATTATTATTATTACCATTATTATCATTATCGTCATCAATATTGTCATCTTTATTTCTCTCCTCCCCCTCCCCCTTCAATCTAGATAACATTTGTGCATTTTTGTTACTGTTTAATTGTGGTCTGCACATTTATGTCACATATTCTTTCAGAGATCACTGACATCACCCAGTTATTTAGTTAAACTAGTAGTTGCACATTGGGGGGCGTTGCACAAAACTTGTCATCAGTGACAAATTACAGTTTTTGTTATAAGCTACTGAAATCCTCGCTTCTGATTGGTTATCAGCAGATTTGTCACTGATTGTCATTTGTCATTGAAAAAGGCTTTGTGAAACGGGTCCCTGATATTAACTCGTTGAATGCCAGCCACAATATCCCTGAAAGTGAGTTCTACAGAGAGTGTATGAGACTATGTGGCTTGGCAGTCAGGGGGTTAAGTCTTAGACTACTCTTGCCTCAGCTTCTGGCTTGGTCACCTCCGCTCGATACCAAGACAAACAGAACCACAGGAACGATGTACATCCACTGAAATGGAAGAATAAGAAAAGTTGTGTTTAGACGTTGAACAACCTTACTCTCATTTAATGTATGCTAGTTAAAGGCATTGATGCATGGCCCTACATGTTATCAGTGTCTTTGATATAGTGTAATATTGAAGCCCTAAAAAAATTGCGCTTCAAAATGATCATGAAGTGCCTCAAAAAAGTAAAAACCTTTGAGTGACCGGTTTTTACCATACTCATTTTCCCCAATAGATTGTAGTGTTATAAAAACCATTAGGAAAACAAATTTTAAAATTTCAATTTCCAGTCATAAATATCTTGATATTCAGACAGGCGATAGGCTTGTAAAAGTTACTTATGGGATTCCTGACTGACCTAAATGTTTATGATTATCATTGCAGCATGAGCTAAATCCAGGATTTTGTTTCAGAATCTGAGACAATGATCCCCAAGCCCTTTAACCCTATTTAGCCCGGGGGGGGGCTTGAGAAGCCCCCCCCTCGACATTTTTCGCGATAATTTTTTAACGCAAGAAAATCTTGCACTGAAATTTTGTGACTTTTTTCTTTAGAGTCTTGCGCAACTTTTGAAAGAAATTTTTCGAAAATCGGACCTACCATTACAAAGTCACGTGTCCTTTTGTCTTCGCATGTCAGCCCGAAAATCGCTCATTTTTGTGATTTGTGTACAAAACATATGGAAATCTCATTTTTCAAATAAAGAGGTAAAACATTGGTTATTTGGTCTTGTTTAGATTTTAGGTGTTTATTTTGGGGTCAAAATAGTTGAATTATAGTTGGAAATGAAATAAAACAACAAAAACAATAAAATACATAAGTTAAAAAAACAAAGAAATACATAAGAAATTATCAAAACAATAGATAACATAAGGAATAACCCTGGTTTTTCAAATTTTTGTGTTGTATTATTATTCCAAATGGTCTAACAAATATATGTAGTGAGAAAGAATGCTTAAATATGAATAATGTCTGATTTATGGGCAAAAATGTGAATTTAATGACCTTATTTGCATAAATTACCATAAATATGCAAATGAGTGAATTTTTCAAAAAAATTGAAATTACCATAGTATTCTATACACTTCACTTGACATGTATGCAAATTTTCGCGGCGATCGGGCGTTTCACGGCCGAGATCACAGGGGGGGGCCTGAGAAGCCCCCCCCTGGGCTATGCAGTTTCAAAATAGCCCGGGCTAAATAGGGTTAAGACATTGTACAACTATACTCTCAATTAATGTATGCTAATTAAGTCAAGTCCCTGCCCAAGTCTGATTGTTATGCATGCTCTTATGTTCAGATGCCATTGCTATTGTGTATACCCATATAGCCCTAGTCACTATGAACATGACCGACAAAGAAAGCGGACAAAATATACAGTTCCTCAGGTAGACAAAACAACATCCCTTCACTGCTATTATGTAAAAATGTGTAGAACAGGTGTCACATGCATATTCACCTGTTCTACACATTTTTACATAATAGCAGTGAAGGGATGTTCCTTTGTCTACCTGAGGAACTGTATATTTTGTCTGCTTTCTTTGTCCGCCATATTCATAGTGAGTGCAGACCTGCCAACTTCTGGAGTTCAAAAACTGTATTCTTTAATCCAAAAATCAAAATCCCAATCAACAGAAGTACTTCTGTTACAGAAACTTACAATAATATTCTTGAATGTAGACAGGTTCCTTTATTACATGTTTCAATGAGAAACCAAATTCAAGGGAAACAAAAAAGTGGTCTTTCTATACAGGTGGTCACTAGGTTTGACCGTATATGCTTACTTACATATTTTGCTAAGAAAGATCTGTTATCTGGTCCTTTTCCTTTCTCCTTCATCTCTCGTTCGTCTTCCATTTTCCTCACAAATGCCTGTGTATCAGGTCTGTATTAAAGAGTGACAGAAAAAAAATCATCAAATTATATAAAATAAGGTATTCATTAGAGAGTATCCTATTGGCTGGGAAGCTGTCATGTGACTCTCAACATGTTGTTATACTTACAACAAGAGCGTGCAATTTAATTACTTCTTTTGCACAGTAAAATGAATTAAACTGTGCACCTCTCTTCCCTGCATGCACCCATTGTTTGCATCGTCTTAGCTGCTCGCATTTCAAAGGTAAACAGTCCTGAATGTTATCGAGAGGGCATGAATCTAAAGGATTGCAAATACCCCAAATTTTGTTTCACAAATGTTGCATGCATTTACCTCCAAGTTCAGAATTCCCCTTGTGCAATATATTTCAACTTCGCTCTGAGCCTATGTGAAATATAACGAAATTCTGAATTTGTTGGTTCATATATATTAAACCCCGGAGCACTGCAATATTTATTGAATATTCCTATAAAGTCTTTAAGCTGTATAATACACTTTAATGCATAACACATCAGATCATGTCATGAATATATTCTCCACCCCCATGGCCCCAACAGAAATTGAGAAATTTTGAAGGGGTACCTGTACAAGTATTAAAATCACTAAACCGACAACATAAATTGAATTAGTAATGCTTTCGCATTCACATTAGCATTTTGTTTTTTCCGCATCATGTAATCCTCATTCATACAATATATACATAAATAACTATATACTTCATTTAAAAAATGTAAGAGTGAAGGAAAGAATAATAAAAAGTAATGCCTATTTGCAGAAACAAAGTTGATTCATGCAGATATTTAGTCCTTTATGGCTTCTATTCTTGTTCTCTACGGTCTGTATTTAATAAAATAAGAATACAAAATAGATTTTGTTTTGAAATCTAGTACTCACGTTGGTCCCGCTGTAGTAACCTGAAGTGCAACACTCGTGTTGAAGTAATCTAGTAACGATGACGATTCGATGGTGGGGTCGCGGTCACATGACCCGTCCATCGGGACTAGAGACACGCCCAGAACGTTTCCTGATTGGTCGACGCTAACCGTGATGTTGTCCGTGAGACGGGACTCTAAAAGTGCACACTGTATCAATTCAAGGAAAAAAGAAAAAGCAATCACAACATAATACTATGTATATGAGACTATGGAAACCTGCTAGAAGGGATTAACTGACAACCGAAAGTGAAACTGAGCCCTGTTTAAAAAAACTTGTTATCAATAACGAGTTCCAATACTTTTTATAAGCTACTGAAATTGTGGCATATGATTGGCATTGGAATTTTGACTTGTAGCAAATTTGTCAGAGATATATGGCATTCGTTATTGATAAAAAGTTTTATGAAACAGGGCATCTGTCCTAGAAAAAAACAGAAATATAAATATATGAATATTATTTTATGGACAAGGGTCCATATTCATTTCGAAAGATGTCATCAAAATTGTAAATGAAAAGTAAATTTGATTCGTTGCGTATTACTTTGCCTTGCAATTAATGAAATCGACTTTTACTTTGATGACAGCTAAAATTTATTTATAAATCACTTTCTCTAATTAAATCTGTAAAGTTTGAATCTATGTTTTTATGAAGAATTTCAATCGATGTGCATATTGAGCCGACACTGAGTTTTGAGACCATGATCTTTAGGAATTGTGTGTCGGGACTCGGGATTAGACTTCAAATGAAGTCTAAAATTCTGCTCTCCACTAAAATCGATGTGAATAAATTCCATAAAATATAAGAAATCTTTTATCACATTCCCTAAAACTATGAAATCTTCGCGAAGGTTGAATGCCCCATCATGAATTCCTAATAATTAGGAAAATAATGTCTCCATTTATAAAATACAGATCTATACTACACAAATGTACACTATATTGGGCTTTTATTCAAATACAAATTATCATATTATTAAACCGGTTTTAGTTGAGCCTGCATGAAACAAACAAACAAACAGTTTATTTTACTAGGGTTAAGAGTGGCAAATGTAGACTAATGACTTGCCAAAGGACATTGGTGTTTTGAGAATGAACTTACCGCTCTAGTAAAAGTAGAAACAAACTGGAGTGAGCTATCATCAGGACTGGCTTCCAGACTGGTAGGCACACGTATCCTATATATGCCATCATGTTTGGCTAAATCCTGGCAAAAGAAAAGTGGAATTGTATTAGTGAACAGATGAGTCTTTGATATTGATTGCAGGACCCTTTACAAGCAAAACTGATGAGGCTACCGCAGGTTAAAAAAACATTCTTCTTCTCCTTTTCTTCCTCTCCTTCTCTTCTTCTTCATCTTCTTCGTCATCTTCATCATCATCATCATTATCATGATCCTCATCTCCTTCTCCTTCTTCCTCTCCTTCATCAGCCCCCCCCCCCCCCCCCCCCCCCCTCTCTCTCTCTCTCTTTCTCTCCTCCTCCTTCTTCTCCTCCTCCTCCTCCTCCTCCTCCTCCTCCTCCTCCTCCTCCTCCTCCTCCTCCTCCTCCTCCTCCTCCTCCTCCTCCTTCTCAATGATTATATACAGTTTTTATTATCATTATTATCTTCTTCTCCTTCTTCCTCTCCTTCATCATCTCTCTATCTCTCTTTCTCTCTTCTTCTTCTTCTTCTTCTTCTTCTTCTTCTTCTTCTTCTTCTTCTTCTTCTCCTCCTTCTCCTCCTCCTCCTCCTCCTCCTCCTCCTCCTCCTCCTATTATATACAGTTTTTATTATCATTATTATCTTCTCCTCCTTCTTCCTCTCCTTCATCCTCTCTCTCTCTCTCTCTCTCTCTCTCTCTCTCTCTCTCCTCCTCCTCCTCCTCCTCCTCCTCCTCCTCCTCCTCCTCCTCCTCCTCCTCCTATTATATACAGTTTTTATTATCATTTTTACTGTATGACAAGTGGGATGTAATGTTCTATCAGATATTCACTCACCTTTAGTTTCCTTTTCTCTCCTGCAGTCAATGCAGCTGTCTGTACAAACATCCCCTGACCATCCTTATTAGATCGGAAGCTTAGGGTTCCTCTGCTACTGAATTTAGGCGTCATTCCTAGTGCAGGAAGGACATAAGAGAAAAGAGTAGAACTCATCATGTCAAATCAGTTCATTGAATTAAAGCCTGTCTGCACTAGTTTGGCCAGGGCGATTAGACCTCCCTGCAAGGAGACTGACAGGTGGTTATCTCATCAAATAAGCCTTCAATTAATATAAGAAAAAGGGGACCATGGGGGACCAACAGGCACCGATTAGGCATTGTTTGCTATATAGAGGGCGCAAGTAGATATAGGAAGTGCAGTGGGGCTTTAAAATCAATGATACTGCCTGGATTATCATAATATACAAGTAAGTTTAGATGAAGAAATATATCCATCAGATATATCCATTTTCTGTAAAATACGATACGAAAAGAGAAAAGTGAGATCAGTATTCAGTAATATCATCAACTTGCTAATTTCCATACAGCCTTTGTGATGCGTGTCAAATGGTTCATGAAGTTATGCAAAACTTAAGATTCAATTTAAAAAAAAAAAAAACAATGATACATTTACAGGCAAAAAGGAATGCTCCCCAGGGAGTGGAAAATGTGCATACATTGTGTGAGGGTAAGCCTGAATCCGATGACCGGGGTAATAATATATATCTGTAAAGCACTTTGAGATGGTCTGCGGTCCTGAAAAGCGCTATATAAGAACGAGCTATTATTTTTATTTTTATAAAGAATTCACACCTCTTGTGCCTTTTCTTCTGTAAAAAAAAAAGAAGAGAAAGCCATATGATGTCAACGCTTTTCATGGGAGAAGATTTTAACTTTTCAAATTGGGAATATATTACAGTTACTGTTTTTCTCTTCTTTTCAATGACTTCTAACCAGGTGGGTCTTCATCTTTTTTTAAATGTTATTAATATATAGAAGATTTATAATGCAGGAAAACACCAGGGGCCCATTCCTAGAAACCATCATAAGTCTATCTTCTTGACTAGATCTATCACATTGAATTGAAATGTGTATATTTAACACACGTTTCAATGGGATTGTCAAGAAGTTAGACTTATGACTGTTTCTAGGAACGGGCCCCAGTGTTGCCAATTTGAACAGCAGATTTGACTTTGCCATACCTTGATCAAAAGAATGTTCAACCACAAGTACGTAGGTAGTGAAGGCTTCTGGGTCATGGTGGATGGGTAGCCTGGTGTCAAGAACCTGAAGGGAATTTAAAAGGGAAAAAAAGCATGTAAGTGTAGTTTCATTCAGGCTTGAAAACCTTGAATATCTTAAGTTAAAGCCAACAATGCCTAAAAAGCAGTACAGTGTACCTGTTAATCTTCTTCTTCTTCTTCTTCTTCTTCAAGATAATCTGCCTCCTTCAATACTGAAGATTCTTGCAGATGCCGTAACCGTATACTTGGCCTGATTGGGGTGTGCAGGTGGATCATTACACCGGGGTTTCCCCCTACTCTTATAGTTACGAATAGTGCAATGGGTTCTTAACGTGCAAGGGTGGTGACTCTCCTGTACACGGGGCCTCCATTTAACGTCCTATCCGAGGGACAGAGTGTTTCCCACTTGACATAACCTGCGTCTATGAACAAGGGAAGGGGCACGTTAACACACAACACAGGCTTCAGTCATCCGCCCGAGTGGGAGTCGAACCCGGGATCTTTGGTTCGACAGGCAGACGCTTTTTATATCGACTGAGCCAATTCGCCTCCTGAACCCCCTGATGCGCTTTTTCTTACATGTCAATAGGCCTGTTTACTAATGATATGCGAGTGACGTCATAATCCCTCGCACCCTAGCGATTGTTACTACGTAGGGCAAGCTTTGCGTGGTGCGGCACGGTCGCCACATTGTTTTTCCATGCCCGCTACGCTATACACATACAAAGCCATTGCTAGCGACCGCGACGTTTTTTCACCCTAATTTCTACAATGGCATCGCCTTCGACATCGAGTTGTAGTTCCAGCAAGCCGTTTTCGCAGTGGACAGTGAAGGAGCTCACCGATTATTTAAGAAAGAGAGGAGTTACGACATCAGGGTACAACAAACAGAAACTAGTTCAACTTGCGACTGCTGTGGCCGATATCGCTTTGCCCCAAGACCCGGACCTTGCGAGCTTCGACTCCACACGGTCGCTGCGGGAGAAGTTGGAGCGTGCGGGGTGCTCGTTCGACGACCCAATGAAAATCACCGGCTACACCGAGAACTTTGAAAGTATACCAGATTTCGGATTATACGACATTTTCAACTACCTGATAGTAAATAGAACTGACTACGACAGAAAGAAACTCAAAGCATATAATATGTCGATTCCAAAGTCCTTTCTTCCACAATTCTTAATCCATATTTTACACTTCTCCAGGTTCGTCTTTGGTTTGGGGAACGGGATGAAAAACACACCATTCATATGGGGTCTGTCTGCGTACCGTGAATCGCTGTTACACGTGCCGTAACAGCAATGCTTACCTCCCATTTTTGCGATATTTCGTCGGGTTTCGGAAAATAAAATCGAAGATTTGTCATGTACAACTGAGAAAAACTATATTTATTTTAATTATATACCCTAAGGTTGGAAAACAAACAGTTTTAAACGAAGTTTATTAGGACGATGATCAGCCTTTTTTTCCTCGCATTCCCCACATCGCCGTATACAAAGTGTGTGTAGCAGGGCCGTAGCAGACACTGCGCTCGGTTTGTTTGCCAGAGCTTACAACCGTGTGCAAATTTAAAGGTCCGTGAATACATTAGTAAACAGGCCTATTGAGAGCATCAGTCATGAATCCGCAAGACATTTTACTAGTAAAAAAGGTTGGCTTGAATTTGGTAGTTAGATCCAGTCACCGAGCATACCCTAGAGCATACCCTAGCCCTAGACTATATATGGTCGGCTTTTGTCTCTAAAGAGAGGCTAATGAACGGTCTAGTACGCGCATCCATATCCCGATCCCATTCCCCAGTTGCCCAGCGCCCATCCCGGCCCAGTGGCGACCAGTTTGGTGGTGATGGCGTACGGCGTGCCGCTGCCGCTTCGCGTACCGTACAGAACGGATCTCAGCTCAGCTCCGCGGAGCATGATTTATGTCAGGTGGCGTTTACATCAGAATTTAGCAAACAAAAATGGCTCTGATTACATCAAAATACAAAACAGAACTACTCACTTTACGATTTCCGTAGCTTAGTGAAATAAAGGCCGCAATTACAAGACAAATTTGCAAAATATACATGGTGACTGGAGAAGAATTTTTCACACTGATGGGAGCTGCCATCTTTGAAACTGTACTGCACTCGGCTTGTGAGGGCGTAAGCAATATTTTGACTATATCGTTGCACATTTTAAACACTAATTTGACATTTGTATGTAAGAGATTATGTATTTGTCAATTTAATCAAAGTAGCCTATGTAGCAGGGGCGTAGACAACGGGGGGATGAGGGGGATGCATCCCCCCCACCTCACAAGGTGGGGGGGGTGGCATGTACAATCATCCCCCCCAGGTTTTTGGGAATGATATTTGCTTACTTAATAAGTTAGAATGATGATAATAATAGTAATAATAATAATGATAACAATTATAATATTAATAATAATAATAATTATGATGATGATAGTAATAATCCTCATCATTATTGTGTTTATTGTTATTAGCCGCATTCACACGGTGAAAGCCAATTCAGACGGTAAAAAAAAGAAAATCTTACAAGTATTTTGTGGTTATCTTGTGGTTTGGAAACTACAAGATAACCACAAGATTAAACAGGCGCGCGGATCTACGGGGGGGGGGGGGGGTTAGGGGGTTTAACCCCCCCCCCCCCTTGGGCGGCCCAAGAAACAAACAAAACAAAAAAAGGGGGAAAAAAGAAGAAAAAAAAGAAAAAAAGAAAGAAAAAAGAACGCACGCTGGAGAGAAACCCTTTCAAGTGCAAATATTGTGAGAAGATATTCAACTCATCTGGTAACTTAACCAAACACATGATAACTCTGGATATAACTGTGTATTTAACTGTTACTTGATTTAAAAAGACGTTATCATGCACTGCTTTTTATGGTCTCCATTGTGTTAATAGATGCCAGGAACACATCACTTACGGGGTTCAAATAAACACCCCAAAAAAAATCGGCTCGCCGCTTCGCGGCTCGTGGACGATGCTCCGCATCGTCATTATTTTGGTCACCCCCCCCCTTAGCAAAAAGCTAGATCCGCCCCTGAATCATCCCCCCCAGGTGTACGCACCTGTCTACGCCACTGCTATGTAGTATCAACCAGAAGTGGTATAAACATTTTTATGATGTTTCTCTCTCCTCAGATCTTTCTCAATCCGTGATGGAAATGGCATACATAACTTTGGATTATCTATATACAATTAAGTAGGCCTATATACTACAAATATCGAAATAATTAAGTTACAATTAACTTGAATTAATCATTGAAAATAATTCATTTGTAGCGAAAGATGATCGACATCCCCTAAAGATCAATAACCGGGGGCAGAGCCTTATAACACATTTCATAACTTTCATCATTTTATTTTATTTTCACAACGATATAAATTAAGGTACAAAAGTGCACAAATTATAGTAATTAAGGCAAACAAAACAAAATACAAAAGGAAAGTTGTCAATCATTATAGCACATAATAATTATATATCATATTACAGCTATGATAAGTGGAAGCAGAAAAAAGCTGCAAACTATGGCCTCTGTATCCGAGTGGCGGATCCAAGGAATTTCTTACGGGGGGGGGGCACAAAATCGCATGGGGTAAAATATATGAAAATAGGGATATTTTGCAATTTGAGAACCACATTTGGCGCATTATTAGTGTCCACCTGCACTTTCTGGAGAGAAAAAACGAGGCCTTCTGATTGGATAGAAGTTAGAGAAAAGTTATCTAGATCACGTCGCGAGTCACGTCGCGAGACGTTGTATATTATGCTTTGTTGCTGGTAATTCACCAGTAGTACTTGCAAAAATTATCTGGGGGGTGTTTCACAAAGATCCTAAGTAGAACTTAACACTAAGTTGGACTTAAAAATTATGGACAGCCATTGGAGCCGTAAAATGAAATATATTCAAAAGCAGAAATTCAAGTATTTTAGACTTTTTATGAATTCCACATCCAGAACATGAAGTCTCCTTGATGATAGAAAATACGAATGATTTGAATCAACATGTTATTCCTTTCAAAATAACTTTTTCAAAATATTTTCAAAGATGCTAATGGCTTTCCATAATTTTTAAGTCCAACTTAGAGATAAGTTTAACTTAGGGTCTTTGTGAAACACCCCCCTGGAGTGTATAAACTGTGTTGTTATCAGGGGCGTCGCTAGACCTTTTTTAGTGGGGTGAGGGGGGGGGGGGGTGTAAAGGCCACCGATTACCGACAAAACTAGCCACCAATTACAGACAAATAAATTAATGCCAATATCACAATGTCCACAAATTTAACCCATAAACCCGGGGTCAGGAAGTTATTTTTTAGTTTTCCCCCTCTGGCGCAAAGCGCGGAAGCTTTGACACTTCATTAAAATTAATTATTAGAGAAAGAAGACGATTCGTTGTACTGCTCCCGACTCTTACTTCTTGTTTTGCCCCTCGATCGAGTCCCGCGCGAAGCGCAGAAGCTATAGTCGTGATAGAGAAAGAAGACGTACGATTCGTTGTACTGTTTTCGACTCGATCCGTAATCCTTGTCTGAATTCAGTTTCCTCACTCCCGGGCGAAGCACGGAAGCATTCACGTTTCATTAAATTATTACTCTGAATCCTTGCATGTCTGAATTCATTTTTCTCTTTTTTTTCCCTTTTCTCTTTCTTTCTTCTCTTCTCTTTCCTTGCTTTCCTTTCTTTCCTTTAGTCTTTTTCTTCTTTCCCTTTCATTTTCCCCATCCCCCTTTTCTCACTTTCCCGACAGCGGGGCAATTTTACCGCCAATATCCTGACAGGTGTGTGTGGCCGGGGGGGGGGGGGGCGTCGCCACTCCACATCCCCCTTATCGACGCCCCGGGTAGTTATCCAAATATTCTTTTAAAAGAAATGCAATTCCTCATGATCTTGCACCTCTTTTCTATCGTTGTTTAATTCTCTTTCATTTTTTTTCCTTTCTCCTTTAACTCACAAAAATTCTCTCTTTTGCCCCCCTTTTTCAATCTCTTTTTGTTGTTTATTGTGCTTTTTTTGTGGGGGGGGGGGGGGGGGGCTACACGCCTGGTAAGAGAGACCCAATATTATGCACACTGCAAAATTGCGTGCCCCCCCCCCCCTTTTCCATTTTCTTCCTTTTCTGCCTTTTTCTCTCCTCTCTCTTCCCCTTTCTTCCTTTCCCCCTCCTTTTCTCCTCTCCCCTTTTCTCGATCTCCTCCCTCTTTTCTTCTTTTTCTCTCTTCCCTTTTCTTTTCTTTTCCCCTCTTTTTTCTCCCTCTCCCTTTTTCTTTTCCCCCTTCCCCCTTTTTTTTTACTGGGGGGGGGGGGGGGGGGGGCACGTGCGCCTTGTGCCCCCCTAAATCCACCACTGCTGTATGTAGGCCTTACCCTATATCACATACATATGGAATTCGCCTGCCCCCTCATATATCTATCCATCGGAAATGCAATATTTGAATTGAAATGATCAAGGGGGGGGGGGGGGGAGTGGTCATGCCCTTTGAATGAAACCCCGGGATGAAACCGCGCCGCTACTTAGTGATTTGCTCCTGCAAAGACACCATACCATACCATTTTGCATTTCTGCAGACAAATTTGAAAAATCCGAAGGGTATGCTAGCCTGTTTTGTACATTTTATCTTTCTATTACATCTTGTATATTTGTTGTTTTGAAATTTAGACTAATTTGTATTGGTGGCATGTAGATGTAGTTGTGGAAACTAATTTATTTGTGAGTGATTGATTGTGACTGCGAGCTCTCTGCCTGTGCCTAGTCCCACACGTTGATGTTGATGATGTTGCTAAAATTACACTTCAGCTCATATTCATAATCAATCAATCATATCGATGTTTGGTCCTAAGCTATCGGTGTTCCACTGACCAACATGACTGAAATAATGCGTTTAATGGTCCCTTTTCAGGAAATTATGGGTCAAAATCGACATCCATGTTGAAAAATCGGCGCTAGTGAGTAGAGTAAGGCCATGTAAAATTGATTTCATGTTGATCGTCCCCGCCCGCTTCCTTTTTGGGGGCCGCCTCCTATTTTTTGTTATTTGTTATTTTTTTTTTTTTATTTATTTATTTTTTTTTTTGAATTTTTTTTTTTTTTTTTTTTTTTTTTGAAAGAAAAAAAACATGAAAAACACTGCTAAAATGGCTCTATTTCTGATTTAAAAAAAAAAAAATTGTCGGCGGCCATCTTGAAAAAAAATAGCCTCGACTGTCAGGGAAAATGTACTGAGCGGCCATTTTGAGCCGCCATTTTGAAATATCAAATATCAAATAACATGGTACACCCTCCTCCTCTTTTTCAAAAAATCCGGACGATCAACATGTAATCAATTTTACATGGCCTAAAGGAGCCCGTAAATTTTTAATCGGCCAGCTCCCGTTTTCTAGTGTTAGGCAAATTCATGCAAAAAAATATAGACCTAGAGTCTAGTCTAGACCTATTCAAGAAATTGACTTGAAAACACATCAGACAATTAGTCTGAACCGAGTCAGGAGCAAATTTGAAGAAATTATATTTTTAAATGTTGTAAAACCAAAGATATAAGAAGAAAACTGACCAAGTATCTGTACTAAAAATCGTACATGTAAAATTGGTCGTAGACATTCGACAGCTGAAAATGACGCGCACGGTTGTGTGGTACGTGCGTTCTCGAATCCAAAATCGTATCTCACACACACACTCTCGCCATACCGCGAATGGTCCGTCGTGGGGAGCTAGCCGCCCAAGAGTTTGCCAGCGATACCAACGCACCCTCGGAGCTCCGCAGCGCACAATTTTAGCGGAACTCGAAAGGTTCGAGGTGGGAAGGTGGCGGGCTAGCTTTTTGCCAAAACCACGCTAGAACGTCTGCTGGCAAAGTGAAAATAACTACGATCGAGAACATCGTCGGTTTCAGTGAGATAATTCTGAATTCTAATTGAGACTATATAATAAATTATATCGACAAAGAAACCTCGGTAGATCTCTTATAACTATACAAAAGCTTGTTTATTTCTCGTTTTGACATTTGTTTTCGAGCCATTTTTTTCGTGCGCGAGTCAATGCAAACTTTGTATTACCAAACTTTCAACACGCAAGGAACGGGGAACACTCGCGGACCCCGTATCAAATTCGTTGCAAAAAAAAATTTCAAGGGTGATTTTGAAGCAGTGAAGAAAATTTGCGCTGCGATGCGCAGAAATATACTTGAAAGAAACTTAAAAAATCACACCTGAATTTTCAGAAAATCGTATTTGCATTACCGAGCCTAGTTGTGAGTTGTTTATAACTCAGATTTTATGAAGATTTGTCGGAAAAAAATGTCATTTTTTTCCGTTTGGTGGTCATTTCTAGGCTAATATTTTAAAAGTTGCATCAGTAATGGGCCCGATGTTTCTCTTATCGTACTCGCATGTTATTTCTACATGTACATAGATTAAACATAGGATGGTTAGGGGTAAGACCGGATAACATTATAAAAAAAATATATCCTTCCACCCTCCCATATCCAAGTTTTGGGCTGATTATTGCTGACCCACCGCAGCAAGGCCATTCAGATTTCCGTATGCTCGCGAACCGCCCTCTAGTGCCCCATGAATGTGCCTACTAGTGTAGTTCCATAGGTCTAGAAAATCTATCCATTTTTTAGCAGTTTAATAATAATATCCATTCCATTCTTAATCTTATTCTTAGCAAATGATTTTTAGCCCAATTTTTTACTAATTATAATCAATTAATCATAATCATATATTGCAGCTGTATTTTAAACTCTCATTTAAATCTCATCCATTCTAGATCTATCATCTAGGTCTAGTCTACGCACAAGGCAAAATGATTATGAAGAAAAAACTGCACAAGTTACGAGTTCGTAATGACGTTATCACGATAGAAAAACATGAAAATTGCACCTTAACGGCTATATAATATTAATAGTTTGCTCTATTATTTTGAATCTGATCCCAAATTATTTGAGAAAGACCTGTCGTCAGCAGCCATCTTGATTTGAGTATTAATGAATATTCATAAGAAAGTTTTTGAATGTCCATAGTCTAGGTACTACGAACGAGTCCAGCCCTGACAACCGTACTCTAAGCAAGCATGAGCAACTGGGGAGGAAACTCTGGCTTCGGGTACTATGATGCAGGGGATGACGAGGACCATGATGAGGAGGAGTACGGAGGGGCCGAGTGGAAGAATGCTGGGAAGGACAGCCTCATCTTCCTCATCGACTGCTCCGAGCAGATGTTTGAGAAGGACGATGACAGGAGCCATTTTGAGATGAGCATTGAGGTGTGTATAATAATAATAATAATAATAATCTTTTAAAGTCCACTCCAAATTTTATTAAGTTAAACCAAAAATGGAAATTCTTTTTGCCCAATTGATCGTGAGCCCGGCAGCCACTGAGCAGCGCCAGATCGACGTTGACCTATCCCTTATTGTTGAACGCCAAACAAGGTAGCAGCAACTCCCGTCTTTTAACGTCTTTTGGTATGACGCGGCCAGGGTTCGAACCGACGACCTCCCGGTTGTGAGGCGGATGCTCTACTGACTGAGCCAACTCACCTGTATGGTGTTGATATCAATAGAAAAGGCAAGACTGTTTGATTCTCTGATGGCAAGTGGAATATTATTGCACATTTTGGAGGCAGCCACTTTATTCCAGTACACATTGACCTTGTTCACATTGGCACGTTTTCTTTTCTTTTCTCAATTCTTCAGTGTGCCAAGACTGTACTAAGCAACAAAATCATCAGCAGTGATAAGGATCTGGTTGGCGTGGTGTTCTTTGGGACAGAAAAGGACAAAAACAGTGGAAGTTTCAAACATATCTATGCCCTTCAGGTAAGCGGTTGGTTTAATTCTTTATAGGCCACACAAATGTTCTCCTCAGGCCTGTCTTCAGCTCGAGATTGCCAAATAGGCTGCTATTTCTGATTTGGGAAATAATCCTGAAGATACAAATCGTGTCTTCATCAGCTTGAGACTTGACCTTGGAACTCTTCGGGCTGGTGAAGATGCACAGGACAAATAGCAGGATATTTTGCAAACTAGCCCAAGATATCTTGGGATGATTATCTTGACCAAATATCCCGCAAATTGCCACTTCGGGCTGATGAAGACGCAAATTAACTGGATAATTTGCGTTCAGGATAGTTCAAATAGCGGGATATTTGGCAATCTCGAGCTGATGAAGACAGGCCTCCTGTGCCACAAGATATTTATCATGGAATAGAAGTGTTCAAGATTATTGAATTATTTGAATTAATCTATACCAGTGTTAAAAGGGTTGTGATGGAACTAACCAAGACTGGAAATGTGTAGTTTTGCAGAGCCATTGCGTTTCACTTTAAGTAAATCTTCAGTGAATTGTTGCCTATTGTTTTGTGCAGAATTGCATTTGTTGCTAACAAGCAACTGCACAAAGAGGCGAAGAAAGCATTTAAAGTGTTACAACATTACTGCCCCTATCATTTATTGGAACCAGCAACTATCATGATTGTTATTATCATTTAAAACATTAAAATAAAAAAATAAAATATCTTTTTTTTTTTGGAGAGGGGGGGGGGGGGGGGGATTTCATTGATCTGAATGGAAATTTGTTCTAGTTTAATTCAAAATGGTCACAGTTTTAAAATTGACTGACCCTCATAGATCCAACGTCAACCTGGAAAAAAACAGACAGATGGGATAGCGGGAAGATTATTGGCAATATTGCTATGACACTGCGAAGCCTATTGGGCCTCAAGTTGATCATGTTTATGTTTCAACTGGCTGTAAAGAATTGATAGAGACAATATCGTAATAGTATAATAATATTCTGCTTTTATATAGGGCGTAATACAATGTCTCTAAGCGCTTTACAGATATATACTATTACCCCGGTCATTTGATTCAGTGCTTGCCCACACACAATGTGGGCACAATCTCCACTCCCTGGGGAGCATTCCAGCCAGGCGTTACTTGACGCTCAAAAACTGTTTGACCAACAATGACAGTTGCATCCTACCGGGTACCCATTTAACACCTGGGTGGAGAGTAGCAGGTGCAGGTTAATATCTTGCAAAAGGATATTAGTGCCGTGTCGGGATTTGAACCCTTAGCCTCTTAATGCATTTCTAATAAACCATTTCATGTTTGTTTGTTTATTTATGTATGTATTTTCTGTCTACCTTTATTTTGAGAGTTGATTTCAGTTTGGATTTATATTTTTCTTGTGCATAACAGGACCTTGATCAGCCTAGCGCCAGTAGAATTCTAGAGTTGGAGTCTTTCCTTACAGGTATGTTCACATCCAGAATATGTTGTCATGAAATCGTGTGATTGTTTAATTGATTGATTGATAAAGCCCCACTGTACTTCTTGTAGCTTCTTGCTCCCTCTATATAGCAATTAGCAAACAATGCCTATTCGGTGCCTGTTTGTCCCCCATGATCCCCTTTTTCTTATGTTAATTGAGAGCTGAGTTGATGAGATAGCCACCTGTCAGTTATCTTGGTGGGTGGTCTAATCCCCTTTGCCAAACTAGTACAGATGGCCTTTAATTGATTGATTGATCACATGACACACTTGCTCCAGCGACGTCGGTTAATATCATAGACTAACCAGATTTTTAACTTCAACCCTGGACTACCTAATTGCAACCCTAAACCTAATCTAAAACCCAATGGCAACCGTTTCACTTGCCCTATATCGGCATTTCATGAAAAATCTTTGAAAATTCTTAACTAGCCAAAAAATCATCAATATAAGGTGATAAGTCTGGATATGAAAATGTTGGAAAGGGTGTATGTCATGTCGGTTACGCTGTAATTCCCCATAAAGCCCAGAGCAATCGCCACTTGCGCATTTGTTGGATAACTGAGTGGTTACTTGTATATTTCAGCAAATTATTGATTTAGTGGAGAACCAAAGTTTGATGGATTGATTGATTGATTATTTTTTTGTTTGGTTTGTTGGTTGGTTGATTGATTGATCGATTAATAAATTAATGGGTGATAACTTAAGGAGAAGGTTGTATTCTGGACTGGTGAAGATGTGAAATAATTTGTGAGCTTTTTATTCTTTGTCACTTTGGAAGAATACCAAAGCAGAAATGTCCCCTAAAAAAGGATCGCTCTTCAAATACCTCCATATAAAAACAATGTGACAAGAATGAGCTGATCATTTATTGACAAAACATGTGTGAATGAGCCATGATAAAGAAAACTATTCAAACATGATTAACTGAAGTTCATTTTGTTATAAATGCGTTTTTCATTCATTTTTTAATTTCATTCTTCTCTCTCTACAGAGGGCAACAATGATTTTGCCAACAAGTTTGGATTTGAAAGTGGCTACAGCCTCAGCGACGCCCTCTGGACGTGTTCTAACATGTTTTCACAAAGGTATGACATTATCAAATCACGGTAGAGTTGACCATGGATCTATACTTGACTTGGCCCTTCACATGCAGTTCGTTTCAGAATAAAATGATTTCTTATTGTTCCTGTGTGTCTCATTTGTCCTACATCAGATGTACAGTACGTGCTCCAGAGACGATTGCTTCACATTCAATACCCAATATCTTACACTAAACCGAAAGTGAGCACTGGACCAAACACTAGCACACCTCATCCTGACCCTAGACCTAACCTAAAATACAATAAACTATTGACTGCTCATGAGGATGATGGTGGAAATTGTCACACCCAAGGTGTTGTTCATACCAGCCCTTCTATGAACACCACCGAGAGAGTAATAATTTCCTCCACAATCCGATTACAGAGCAGTCTGTAATGTGGTCTTTAAAGACAGGTGGTCTTTGTAGACATGTGGTCACTAAAGCAGGTTTGACTGTAGCATAAACAAATTAAATAGGGCCTCATGATTTGTGTCATCCTGTATTAATATCAGAAATAGATAAATGAATAAACTAAATGATGATTATTTTCTTCAACTTGTTTGGCAGTCCACAGAAGGTGGGTCACAAGCGTGTTCTTCTCTTCACCAACGATGACCACCCCCACGACAAGAATGTAGCTTTCCAGCGACAAGCCAAGCAGAAGGCCAAAGATCTGGATGACATCGGGATCGAGATCCTACTCATGCACATGGCTCTGCCTGACTCTCCATTCCGCTTCTCTGAATTCTATCAGGTATGAGAAGAAGAGAGAGAGGGAGGGAGAGGGAGAGATAGAGGGAGATGAAGATAGAGGGAGAGGATAATAGAGAGAGGATAAGAGATAGCGAGAGATAGAGAGAGAGAGCAGGGGGGAGGAGAAAGAGAGGGATAGAGAGAGTGTGGGGGGAATGAGAGACAGAGAGAGAGAGAGAGAGCAGGGGGGAGGAGAAAGAGAGAGAGAGAGAGAGGGGGAAAGAAATTAACATTGTTTAATGATGTCAATGCCCCTGAGGAAGGGGGAGGAGCCAGAAAAATTGAAAATAAGATTGCATAGTTGGCATAAAATATCTTCAAAGTGTGATCTCTATACTGCCAAGCACTGCCAAATCAACATGTTTCTGTTTTTTGATGAAAATTTGAGAAGAAAGCGATAAATGATAATGAAACAATTAAGAGAGAAAGGAGATGAAAGATGATGATTTTTAGCTGTAAGCCTTTGTCAAATAATTTTTGTAACTGGAACTTTGCAGGACATTGTCCATGGAAGCGAGGATGAGGAGGGTTTAATTCCGGACGCTTCTGAGAAGTTCGAGCAGCTTCTGGCGAGGGTGCGAGCAAAAGACCACAAGAAGAGGACCACGGGGAGGATTCCCTTCTCCCTCGGAAAGGGACTGGAACTAGGCGTGGGCGTGTAAGTTGGAGTAACAATAGTAATGATTATGGTGATTGTGGTGATGAGGATGATTGTGGTGATGATGATGATTTTGGTGATGATGAAGAAATTGATGAGGATGATGATGATGATGATGATGATGATTATGGTGATGATGATGATGATGATGAAGAAATTGATGAGGATGATGATGATGATGATGATGATGATGATGATGATGATGATTATCCCTTCAGCGGTCCAAAGAATGTTATATTACACCCCCTGCCAGTCAATATCTGTATACTATTTTGTTTTGTTTTGTTGAAGGTACACCCTTGTAAGGCAGCAGGCTAAACCCTATCCTGTGAAGCTACATCGACAGACCAATGAGGCTCTCAAGAATAAATCTAAGATGTACTGTGAGGTGAGCAAGGCGGAATAATAATATGTGCCTTCATGGTTGTTTCATCACAAAGCATGCCGGGACATATTTATAGTACGGAAGTAGATTTTCACCTTCTCCGTGATCAGCTTTTCCATTGCCAACAAACAAATTTTTATCCTGTTGAATCAACATCATAATCTTGTGCAGGATTTGCCTTGAGGCTTCTTGAAAGAAATATTTACAGTTTACTTAAAACATATACATGTAACAAACACAACAGAAAAGACATAAAATGAGTATAGTATCAGAAATTAAAAAATAATCAAATAATTACGACTGATATAAATCATTCATATTTAAAAAGAAGGTTGAGCTCTGGGGAGAGGTGAAAAATAATTTTTGAGTTTTATCATTATTATGCAAGTGTGGAAGAACATCTGATTATCAAGAAATCTATGATTGGAAATAAAAATCAAATTTTGTGTTTTCCTAACGGTTTTCATAACACTGCACTCTATTGGGGAGTATGGTAAAACTGGTCACTAAAAGGTTTTGACTTTTTTGAGGCACTTCTTGATCATTTTGAAGCAAATTTTTTTTAGGGCTTCAATATAACACCATATCACAGACACTGATAACACGTAGGGTCATGCATCTCAGATTTAACATTGTTAAACGATGCCTTTAAGCATGCATCTCAGATTTAACATTGTTAAACGATGCCTTTAAGTGACCTCCTTTGATATTAATATTTCAGGATACAGGAGAGCTTCTGATGCCATCAGACATCAAGAAATACCAAACGTACGGTGGAAAGAACATCATCTTTGAGAAGGATGAAGTGGATGAAGTCAAGAAGTTTTATGATCCAGGTTCGAACAATTTCATTTAAGGTCAATTCCTTTTCTTTTCCGATTCCTTTTGGGGGACCGCCTCCTTTCTTTCTTTTTTTTGTTTAATTAAAAAAAAAAAAAAAAAAAATTAAATGCCGGCGGCCATCTTGAAAAATAGCCTGTCAGGGAAAATTTAACGAGCGGCCATTTTGAAAAGAAAAAAAAAAGGCCTCCTCCTTCATATTTGTCAAGAAGGCAGGAGGCTAAACATGTTGTTTTTTTTGGCCTGACTGTGTACCCATCACAAACAAGAATATACAGTCAAACCTGCTTTAGTGACCACCTGTCTACAAAGACCACTTTTTTGTTTCCCTTGAAAATGGTTTCTCATTGAAAAATGCATTAAAGGAACCTGTCTACAAAGACCACATTTTTTGTTTCCCTTGATAATGGTTTCTCATTGAAACATGTACTAATGAACCTGTCTACAAAGACCACTTTGAACGGATCTGATCAGATCTGTTTTCATCAGCTCGAGTTTGCCACATAACCTACTATTTGCAGACTCGGGATATCATCCCGAAGCTCGAAATTGCGTCTGCAGCAGACCGATTAGCTCCTCACAAACTAGCTCCGTCAGGTGAAAATTAGCCCGCTATTTCCCAAATAGCGGGATATTTTGGAACTAAGACCAAGATTTCTCAGGATATTTTCTCAACCAAATATCACGCTTATTGCAGCTGCTGGCTGATGAATACGCAAATTAACTGGCTAATTTGCGTTCAGGATTGTTAAAATAGCGGGTTATTTGGCAAACTCGAGCTGATGAAGACAGGCCCATCATGAGACGGTGTTTAATTTCAAGATGTGTTCTTCCCAATCATAGGCCTTACCCTGATGGGTTTCAAGCCCAGGTCGGCCCTCAAGAAGTATTTCCATGTCAAGCCAGCCCAGTTCCTATTCCCAGACGAGACCTCTGTTTCGGGTAGCAATACTCTCTTCAATGCACTCCTGCAGCGATGCTCGGCCCGGGACAAGGTCGCTATCTGCCGTTACATTCCACGCAAGAATTCACCTCCAAAGTTTGTCGCCCTCTTGCCCCAGGTAAGAGTAGTAGGCTAGAATAGTTTATAAGAGGATCCTAATAAGTAAATGATTGGTTGAAAGCATACACGTGACCAGGAATTTATTTTGCCTAACGCGTAAATTGGATAATGACCGGTCATTAGTAAAATCGTGTCAAAAAACATCATTTTATAAAACAAATAAAACATAATCTTATAAAACAAATAATACACATCATTTTGTTCGGGCATTAGTAAAAGTCCCCACACTCAGTACCTTCATAACAGTCCGAACTCCCCTCGGGTATCACCTCGGGCGTGTTCAACTGTTCCAAAGGTACCTCGTGTGGGTAATATAGTATTAATGACTGCTTTGAGAGAAATAGTTGTTTTTATACGCTCAAGGGAAGGTTAGAATTGTGCTATTACCCGAGGCGTGCCGAGGGGAATAGCCCAATTGTAACCTTCCCGAGAGCGTATAAAAACAACTATTTCTCGAATATTAAAGCAGTCATATTAATACTTTTATATGCAAAAAAAAAAAAAAAAAAAAAAAAAACTTTTGCCGAAGATGGGATTCGAAATCTTGCGTACCAAAGGTGATATTACTAAAGTCAGCGCCTCAAACCGCTCGGCCAGCGCACTATGTCACCATGCATAGAAGTTTTCTTTAATATATACATTAAAATGAATTGAAAACGGCTTCGCGTGGTCGATGCTTCGCCGCTGCTCCATTAAACGGGCCCTTCTTTTACTTTTATAATGCATATTGGCACGAACTTAGATCAAGATCTATCGGCAGATGTTGTTTTTTTGTTTTTGGAAGTTTATTTTCGTCTTCATGTCAACAATGCAAGATAAAATTGTTGGTAAGATCGATCGAGATTCAATTGTATTGAAATTACCGACCAATTCTTCGCACACGTACGGTATCCTCGATCGCTCAGACCATTTTTTAACATGTAAACCTATGGGGTTACCATGGAGACTGACCTATTTTCCCAATAACCATGGTTATTGGGATTTTGAACTGTTTTTTAACCATGGTTACCGGGAATTTTCGGGAACAGTTAAAGTTTATGAATGCAATTTCGACCAATCAGATTGCTGGATTACTTAAGTGAGGTATATAATTCTTACTAATGCCCTCACTGCTGTGTGTTATTTGTATATTATCACAATGTTGGTTTCAATTTGTTGTGTCTACCACAGAAAGAGGAACTTGATGAGCATTCCGTTCAGATCACTCCTCCAGGATTCCATCTCATCTTCTTGCCTTTCTCTGATGACATGAGAAAACTGGAACATCCCACTCACCCGAGGGGTAAGTTTACTTGAGTGTTGAGAGGGACGAGGGATGGGGAATATTGATTGAAAACACCCCTCCTCTGTTGAAGATGAATTGTACTTAAAGTGTTCATATTCAATTCAGTTCAATATTGATTATGAGAATTCCAAATTATTAGTCCAGCAACTAATGTACAATATTTACAACATGCAAAATCATGTAATATCATTATTGATTAAAAGAAAAAAGAACAAAATCAAGCTATTACGTTTATAAAATACATTACATAAATTGTGTAATGTATTTAAACCCATGTCTCTACGAATGCTCCCAGGGAGTGGCGAATGTGCAAAAATTGTGTGAGGTGTCTAATTGTTTTGGGAATCTCTTTGAATCTCTTAGCTACACCGGACCAGATCGACAAGGCCATGAACGTCGTTAATAATACATACATGTAGATTGTGTAATATATTTTGACCTATGTCTTTAGGAATGCTCCCCAGGGAGTGGTGAATGTGCATACATTGCATGGGGTCTCCAGTTTTATTGTGAATCTCTGTGAATTTCTTTGAATCTATTAGCTACACCGGACCAGATCGACAAGGCCAAGAACGTCGTCAAGAAGTTACAGTTCCAGTTCTCCTCGGAGAACTTTGAGAATCCAGTCCTCCAGACGCACTACAGGACCCTGGAGGCCCTAGCGCTCGACAGGGACACCACAGATGATATGGTCGACCATACCGGTAAGACAGAGTCTGCGGATGATATTGATTATAATAATGGTGATGACAATAAAAGCTATTTGTATTATGAGCCATTTATCCAGAATTTCTATTCTGCATACCTGCCAACTGTTATTGTTTTAAAGGCAAATTTGGCTTGTTTTACCATGTGCCACAATTTGAAAGTTCGCGTATCGCGTGCGTTGAATGGCTGAACGATTGAGCAGCGAATTCATATTCTTTCGTACAGATTTACTGCGTATTGATACCAGTTACACTGCCGCTGCATACATGGCCATGGTAAGGCCATGCGATTGCCTGTTAAGGGTACAAATTTCTTATTTTCAAATGTTGGCAGGTATGATTCTGATTCATACCGGTACAAAGATAAAAAATTAAAATACACTGTGGCGAGTGGATATGTCATCGGACTGTGGATCACAAGGTCCACGGTTTCGAGTCCCGCCTCAGCACTAATGTCCTTTGGCAAGACATTAATCTACATTTGCCACACTGAACCCAGGTGCGGTAAGTGGGCAACTTGGTGGGATTATTCCTTGAAATGCACTGTGCACTGATAACGGCTGCCGGAGCTAAAGCTACGATAATAATTTCCAATGCTCTTTGGAATTGCTTAGGGACGTTATATAATGTAATATACGCTATACAAGAACTGAATATTATTACTTGTATTGATAAAGCTATGTTCTACTCCAATTGTGTGTTATCTGTTGACCAATCAGAGCCCAACAAAGAGATGATTGAGAGAAGGGCGGGGCCTGGCATCAGAGAGTTCATGGAGTCAGTCTTCCCCGAGGGGTACGACCCCACGGCCAAACCTGCTGCTAGAAAGAAGGTACAGGTCTTCTCTTCTCACGTTTATCTGTCAGATCTTCTTTTAGATCAAAGAGAGATCGTTCCTTGGTAATGTGTTCATTTGTACAAAAGCAGAAAAATAAATAGAAGTAAAAAGGCGAAAGTTTGATGTAAATCAGATAAATAACAAGAAAGTAACCATTATTTATTTCTAAAAAATGAGATCGCTAGATCTATGCGTTTCTCAAATTGGCAATTTGTTCAGTGTATTTTGACTAGCGTAATGCACATTTGTCGTGTACAGAAATACCATTAATTTATGTTTTTCTCCTAAGCATTTCCTCCCTAAGGGCATTACTCAAAATATTTTAAAATACTGATAGCACATTATTACAAGTCCTGAGTCAAACGAGGGTTACAGTGACTCTCTTTGCTTTTCCCCTCCCAGGCTCAAATGAAGCCAAATCTATTATAATAAAAACTGCAATCTCTCTCTCTCTCTCTCTAGGCTGCAGGTGGTACCATTGATGTTGCTGAACAAGCCCGAAAAGAACAGGTAAAAAGGGAATTCTCCAACTGAATTGTGATAAATAAAATTTACAAATTTTCTTTTATTTGAAAAGGAATTTTTTCTTACATTAGCAAAGAAGTGTTCTTCAAATATGGGCAATATTTTGGACTTAAATTAATGGAAACGAGATGTGCTTTCCTGCTTTATTTCAGCTAGGCATTGGCTGAGCATCAGACTCTGCAAATTTAATTTGAACTCTATGCAAATGCTAGGTGTAATGACTAATTTATTCTAATTCTTTCTTTTGTTTCATGACAGCTTTCCAAGTTGACCGTAGCCGTCCTAAAGGAGTTCTGTCAAACGAATGGACTTTCAACTGCGGGGAGAAAGAATGACCTCATAGGAACCATAAATGACCATCTAGGGTTATAAATTGAATTAAAGGGAAATAATGACCTCACACTCATTTGTGCTGTATGTTAGGGGTTCTATGCAGCTATACTATATTCAAAATAAGAGTTTCAATTGTTACTTCTAGAAGGAGATATTGCCAGTTTCAATACACTCTCAATATAGTCTGCAAACGTAGACTCTGATTTACCACAATTGATAAAGCCTTGAGGAGAGCCTAGCTCTGTTAGACTCTGGCTACAGTATAGGGCCTATTGATTGCGTTATACATTACGAGTGACGAGGGTTTGTGCATGCAAACTCCTCTTATTATATGTAAAAGGGACGCATAAGTAAAGTAGTTAATACACACTTGAACTCTCTCTTAGAAATGGGTGTGTATGTAATTGGGTTTTTACAGACATGTATGAATTAAATGATTTATAGAAACCACATTTACATGTAGCTGTCCACAAATGTTGTTTAGGTGCCAAATGTACAGATTGTTTTGTTCTTATTGTAGTTGAACATAGATAAGCTTGTCTTTCTTATAATTACGATCGTCATTAGCAAGCCTTTTGTTTTGGCGGAAAAAATTGGAGCGATGCAGACTAGTCTTCCTTTGACGACATAATTTTTGCACCAGATCTTGTCGGATTTTCTTTATTCGCCGATTTGTGTTGCTTTCTACAACAGGAAAATAAACACATAACATGGGTGGATATTTCTTTACATAGATGTTGGAAATATTTTGAATTCAAGAATGGGATATCTACAGAAATGTTTGTGTTTAACCTGTTGACTCCTGAATTGTTTAATTCCCATAGGCTTAATACAGGAGCCACTCGGTTGCAGGAGTCGATGGGTTAATAAGCAATGAGTTATATATGCTACTCATAGACTGATGCAGAAATGTAGTATAGTGATTACTAGTATCACCTAGAGAGAGAGGAGAAGAGAAATGAATTAATGTAATTGAGGGATTGCATAGTTGCAAACCATTCCCATTTTTGAGGAAATGATTCATATATTATGGCCTTCAAACTGGTGGTTATGAAAGTGAAACCTATATTTCCTCTCTTTTCTGAAAAGATCTATGTAAAAAATATACAAAGTAGATTGTATTCCTAGCTTTGCCTTGAAAGATTGATAATTTTGCTGCAAAAGTTATAACAGGTGTGGTATAAATAAAAGTTGAAATTAAGACAAAATAAGAAATATTGCAGGGATTGTAAGCTTGCAGAATCAAAGAAGTAAAAGTGTCGCATAAAAGTTTTCTTCACTGTTTTCTGTTGTGGTATTATCTCCCTCTTTGTCTTCTTTCAAGATCATGGAATGCTGAAAAAATATAATTTTAAACTAGCATAATTATGTTATTTTATGTATTCCCAAAGAAATTGTACATACTTTTTTAGCTTAGCTGTAAACAGCTTGCAAATAAGTACTGGTAATGCGATTATCAATCATTGTAATCTTAGTTTTTGGATCATATGATTTTTTTATTGTTGTGAAACAACAGAGGAACTGTAATATTTAGTTTTTCCTGAAATGTTAAGACATTGTAAGAATTTAGTCATCTCATATGTTTTGTATATGCATCAAAATATAGAACAGTCTTCATAAGATAATTTGCATTTCTATGTCAGATTTATGTAGTGTACAAGATGTTGATGCGAAGGAGTAAAAGAGATGTGTGTGGATTAGAAAGGAGAGAGAGCAATTGATGTGGGAGGCTGGGAGAATGTGAAAGCGAGAGAGAAAGAGCATTGGGGGGGGGGGGGATAGGGACGTAAGAACCAACAAAAAAGAGGGAGGCAGGGGGAGGGGATGAACAAAAGGTGAAAGACAGAAAGAAAAACAAACCATAGGAGAGAGTGGGGTGGGGTAGAAAGAGAGGAAACTAGGGGGAGCTAGATCAGAAAACTAGGGGTGAGAGAGTAAGAGTAAAATAGAAAGAGGTGAGGGGGAGGGACGGATCGAGAGAAGAGAGGGGTTTTTGGGGGGGGGCAGTAAAGGGTTGTTGGCTATTAATAAACTTTGTTATTACATTTATTTTTATTAAACTTTTTAAATATTCGGCACCAAAAAAAAAAAAAGTGCTCTTACCACCCTCCCCCAACCTCCCCCCCCCCCCTCCCCCCCCCCCCCCCCCCCCCCCCCTCTCCCCCGCTTATTCAGCGGCTGGCTGAGTCGTTGCGATTTTTGGGAACCAAAAACATTATGTCCTCTTAACCCACCCCCCCCCCCCCCCCCCCCCCCCCCCCGGAAGAAATTCCTGGATCCGCCCCTGAGTTACTTAGTTCATGTTTTTGTTAAAGTTGACTTTCATGGACCACGTAGGCCTATTGTCGACCCCATCTTTATCTGTTTATGTAATATTTATGGTGTATTCTTAATTGTCTTTTGATTGTTTTGTATTTTTATCAGACTGTGGAAATAAACTTGAATTGAATTGAATAGATACTTCACAAATTAAGTAAATATTGAAATCCTTTTATTTCCAAAATAGAATTGTTATCTCGAATAGGATGACACAACTCTTGATAAAAGTATAATGACTCATTTTGAGCATACTTGTTAATTGACACGAATAATCTAATGTACATAAGTAAACCAATTGTTCCTGCTTATCTGTGCAAAGTATTTAAAGTTAGTTATTTGCTAATAACCAACATTACGGAAGTCTAGATAAAAAGATGTTTGATGAGCACCCCGGCCTCATCGTCCGTCCGGCGACTAGCGAAGGTCGAAATACTTCGCAAATCAATTTTAAGCGATGACGCACTTTTTATTGTTTTTCTTTCCTTTTCTCCAGGAAAATAATCAAAATATTCATACACTGAATGATGCTATTATCCAAATAGGAAACGCATTTAAATCTGTTTATAATGTAAATGTGTGTTCATTTATCTTAGATATAGACTTAACGACATTTTTTCTAAAATTATTGTGTATGACATAAGAATTAGTTACATTGTGTAGCGAAAAAATAAATTGCTTAGTCTGGTAGCAACTCTAAATGTCAACAAACTTTTCTCGGTCACCTGAACAGTAGTCACGTGCCTATAACCGTGCGAACGTCATGTTCGGAGAAAAACGTAAACATTGCATTTTTTTACACAATTGTACTGCGCGCGCGGCACAAAAGAGAATTCTATTGTTCGCACGAAAAGGAAACAAAAGATAAAAATTGCGAAAGTGTTATCCACGTTATACGTTATCGGCTTGATTTGCATACTACGTCATTGTAAACAGTGGTAGATCGACAGGATCGCGAGCAGAAAAAGAAACGGAAAGATTCTATCAATATCATTATTGAACAAACTACAAAGTGTTCATAGATCTACGCGACATGTTTCGAAATTGTTTTTGCTCAACCTAAACTTCAAGTTCAGTAGGCCTACCCGATTTTTGTACGGTGCGGTACACTTAGGCTTCCGATACCGCTCGCGCTCGCCGGATATTGTACCGGCGTAATTCGTTGTGACTGTGTGTGGCCGCCCGTTAATCTGCTTTACAATTTTAAGATTAGCCTATTTGGATTCTGAATTGGAATTGGGAACCATCATCATCAGATCACCATGCACGTGGTCAGAATGTTCAAGGTTGATGTTGTAAGTATTTGCCACAAAATGCAATTCTATAAGACTGTCTAGTCCAGATCTAGTCTAGATCTAGACAGAAATAACCATCTGATTTGGGTCATTTCTTTAATAAAACTGACATTTGTTGTCATTCCCCAATAATCGGAGGTGGAGCCAGACGTAGTCTCAGTGGAACAACCGACGATTAGAGAGACTGAAGCTTTCGGTCTAGTCTAGATCTAGATCTAGACTCTAGTTCTAGTGACGATACTCAGCTCAGCAGGAGAAGTTTTTATTATTTTTCCAGTTTTTATTTCAACATGTTCAACCATGGCATGTTTATCTTTTAAAATTTTAATTGGAGATTTGAGGCTCTAGATCTATATAGGTCTAGAGTCTAAAAGAGATTTTGAGACAAATGCAAATGGGAAGAGGGATAGAATGTTAGCTAGCATGAAATAGCAATGTGATATTTCATATAGACCCCTAACTTGTTAGACTAATGAATGAAGTCAGTGACACAATTTGAAATCATTTTCTTATTCTTTTTATTAACTCCCTGCAGGCCAAAGCAGTTTGTCCGAGACTCCTTCCCTTCATCAATGGGACGATTCTTTACTTTCTGCTACGACCAGAGGCCTCACTGTGGGCTGTTGCCTGCAAGTGCCTTCCCATCGTCTGTCTGTGCGGCTTCGTCATCCATGAGATCTATCTCTTCTGCAAGCAAGGTTTGTCCGTCTTTCCTCGCTACCATCTAGCTATTCTCACCGGCCTCGTCTTATCCTGTATCGGTGATGGTTGCCTCGTTTACGTCAACCAATACTTCATCGAAGGACTCCTCTTCTTCGCGCTCGCTCACATCATGTACATCTACGCTTTTGGCGCGAACCCCTTCAAACCGTCCCTCCTCATCCCCCTGATGCTCGTGGGCGGTGTCGTCTACGGGTTCATGTACCCGGGTTTCGCCGCTTACGAACTTACATTCCTTGGCGCCTTGTACATCATCCTGATCATTATGATGGCGTGGAGGGCGCTAGCCAGGGTCCAGTTCGGGGAGAACCTCTGGACGTGGACAAAGGTCGCCGCTGGTGTCGGCGCCATCCTCTTCTGCATCTCTGACGTTGTCTTAGCAACCAATATGTTCCGCAGCGCCATCCCATCATCTCAGTCCATCGTCATGACGACGTACTACACAGCTCAGCTTGGCATAGCATTGTCTGTTGTGAGCCACGGACATAGCATTGAGAAGAAAGAGAAATGAGTTGGTCTCCGAGACACTGCAGTTTATTGTTATGTTAGAATATACATTGATCAAGCATAGCTATTTTTAGATTATAACAAAAATATTGCTGCATTGGAAGTCTGCTGTGTAGTGCAATATAGGCCTACCTGCAAGTAGATCATATCAAGCGTTTTCTTTACATTGGAAAAACATGTGAAGAAAACAAATGAAATTGGGTATATAGATATTTTAAGAAGGTCAAAGGAGATTTAAATGTTATAAATCAAATTTTGTTGAATACTGCATTGCCAAATTTTATAACACTTTCTAAATGGATAGAAATTGGAAAAAGACACTATTGTTTCAAAGATGTGAAATAACTCTTATACTTTGTTTACTTCCTTGTACAAGGAACATATCAAATCTAACGATTTCCCATGAAAATACCCTGGGTCCATATTTTTTATAACAATGTCTTTATTTTTAGGAAAAGCTTTGTGCAGACATTAACCAATGGATTGTCCTAAGTTGACAATTTTTTGTTGTACCAACATATAATATAACATCCTTTTCAGAATACCTCTGGCTTTTATATATGATCTACATGCAGGGATGTTGTTAAGAACTGCTGGAAATCTCCAAACTAATTTTCAGCAGTGTATTTTGATTTACATATCATATCCAGTCAAACCTGTCTATTAAGGCCACCCAATGGAAACAAAAAATGTGGTCCTTGTAGACAGGTTCCTTTAGTACATGTTTCAATGAGAAACCATTTTCAAGTGAAACAAAAAATGTGGTCTATGTAGACAGGTGGTCACTAAAGCAGGTTTGACTGTATATCCAGTCAAACCTGTTTATTAAGGCCACCCAAGGGAAACAAAAGAAGTGGCCTCTGTAGACAGGTTCGACTGTACACTTTATACATGTACTTATGACAAGATGTTTTTTGCACTGAAATCATTGCTATCTAAGGCCTAAAAAAAAATGTTGTATTGCCCTTTGCGAGAAATATCAGCCCAAAGAGGGAGTAAAACAAAACAAACAAAAAACAGATATCCGACCGACCGACCCATGTTTTGGCACCTAAAGGGTAATACAACATTTTTTTTGTTTGGGCCTTATGCATAGCATGTACTTGCACCACAGCAATTTTATATCAAGTTGAACATCTATTATAAAACAAGCAATATAAAACAGCAACAAGTAAAGTATTCATACCCTTTGTAAATTTGATATTTTTTCCCCCGCAAATCAAGAATGAAAGGTGGGCTGGTTAAACTAGGGTTTTTGTGGAATACTTAAAGATTTAAGCTTTCATATATATCATAAACATAACAAACCGGGCCAAAATTAATTCTTCACGTACTTAACAAAAATACAAAACTCTGTAAGGGTATGAATAATGTAGTTGTTAAGTATAGTTCAGGGAATAATTTGCCTCAAATTTTTTGATTAGCAATTTCAGCCGATGGATAAATATTTCAAATGATATTCTGTACATTTCTATGGAAGAAAACTGCTACACAAAAGATATTTTGTATAGCAGTCATGCAAAAATGCATAGCAAATTGCGATGCGATACCAGGAAAATTATTCCCTGTAGTTTGTTAGGGCGTGTTACTTTGATAAGCAATTCTACATGTAAGGGAAAGGCTCGTGTACTTTTACATCCATTTTTTTCTTGAGATACAAACAGTATTATGTGAATGTCCTAGGGTTTGCAAGAGGCTTTGACTGTTAAATACCTCGGAAACAATCTCAAGGTTTTGGAGGGGGCCCGATGGATCAGCGGTAGAACAATGGTTTTGTACCCGGGAGCTCCCAGGTTTGAAACTACAGTGCCCTTTCGTAAGGCATTAGGACCCCACTGGAAATAAGCTCTCAAGCTTTTGTGGGTTCTCTTGTTCAAGCTGACTTAATTTTAATCTGTTATTATTGATTATTGTATGTTGGAAGCTTGGCCGGGAAAAAAAATCAATCAATCAATCCTCATTACCAAGTCCCTTGGAGAACCGTCCTTCTTTGGCTGCTTACTTACAAGCATATTACACACTTTCTTAGCAGTCAGGTAAATTAATCAACAGTAATGATATCAAGATGTGAATTGTTCACCAATTTGCAGTGTGAATTGATGTTCACGCACAAGTACACATACTGTACACACACATGTGTCTACTTACATTCAAACTGGGGACCTTATTTCTTTGTGCTGACTGTATTTGAATGCTTAGCCTCATTTTAACACATTGCTTTTCAAACTTGCCAATATTTTGCTTGCCCTCTATATATATATGTAAGCGGGTTGGCATTTTTCTAACTATCTAATGTACATAAGATAAGCCTACATGTAGGTAGTTATCAGTGCTCCATCATTATTGATCTTAACAAAGCATTTTCTATGTCTATTTCTGGTATATTTGATATTGTGCAGAGATGGTAATTGTGGATATTTAGCTTACTGTAAATGTATTATTTTATTTGTTGATTAAAAAGCTAATACCATTCACTGTCAGAGACTGTTGAAGTGCATGTCTAGTAGAGGTGTTGTAGTTGAGTGTTTTAGTCACTTGACTTGGAATACAAAGGTCATGGGTTCGAGCCCCGGCACGGCACTTATGTCCTTGAGCAAGGCATGATGGAAAGTCTATATTTGCACCTTACAAAAATGATAATGAAGAAAGTTATTTAATCTACTGTAGGAAGAGAAAAATAAATCATCATAGTGGTTATTCACTCGGTTTTGCTATCGATCGGTTCGTCCCTGACAGGGAAGGTTCATTTTCTGAAGGTAATCAGAAGGTTATTCACTCGGTTTTGCTATCTGTTTGTCCCTGGCAGGGAAGGTTCATTTTCTGAAGGTCATCAGAAGGTTATTCACTTGGTTTGCTATTGGTTCATCCCTGGCAGGGAAGGTATCATTTTCTGAAGGTCATCATAGTGGTTATTCACTCGGTTTGCTATCTGGTTTTCTCTGGCAGGGAAGTTCATTTTCTGAAGGTCATCAGAAGGTAATTCACTTGGTTTGCTATCGGTTCGTCCCTGACAGGGAAGGTTCATTTTCTGAAAGTCATCAGAAGGTCATTCATTGACAAGAGGAGTTAAAGCATTGAATAGTAATATCAATTAATATGAAAATCATTCCAAAGTGAAGGGTGAGGGTTGGATTTGTGAGTGGATAAGCGTAACTTCCTGATAAGAGTACCAGTATAACTATATACAGGTAGTAGCAGCTCAGTAAAGTATATATTTATACAGTTGCTGGGCTATATAAATTGATTTGATCATTATCATTAAAAGTATATATATTTGAATGAATACCTTCAATTGGTGAATGATTTAGCTCTGGAATGCTTTAAAGAGCACTGAATGAAGTCAGAAACAAAATGTAACCAGTCTACAGCAAGCAAGGCTACCAAGAGAGCCATTCTCTTTCTGGTTACACCACTGAAAAAAATTTATAGCAGCGCTATTATTTATTGCTCGGTCAAGTTCCATATAGCCAAGTCACCCATTGTTGCTTAGGGAATTTAATAGTTTTAATTGGCAATTTTATTTATTTTTATTGGGGTACGTTAATTTTGTGTGGAATTGGGGCCATTGTTGCTTAGGGAATTTATAAACATTATTTGGCAATTTTATCTTTATTAGGGAAGGGTAATAACTTTATGATTTGTTTTGTGTGGAATTGGGGCGCTTAGAGACAAAGTTAATGATTTGTGAGCGGGTATAAAGCGTAACTTCCTGGTAAGATGGAGAAAACATTGATTTAAGTTATCCTCACTACAATAGACCACTAAAAGGGAAAATTGGAGGAGTTTGGTCATGTATACTTCAACTCAGTTTAAGATCTGAATTTCCTTTGTGAATAGTGGTAAATAATTATCATTTTTGAATATATACATGAAGACAACAAATTATGAAATTTAAGGAAACAAAACAAACCATAACCAAACCAAATGAAAATCAATATTGTGTATGTTTATCTTTTGTCTTCAACAAAATATATCATTTTGTATCCTATTTATGTTCTTTGTAAACTATGTCTCAGCCTTTATTTTACATGTGAGCGAAACCAAATAGCCATGTTGAACGTACACATAGGTCAAATAAATATATTAAATAAATTCAATTATTTACTCGATTTTATTTCACATAGGTTACTGAGTATATTGTAGAATAATGAATATGATTAATATCCAGAGTGTAAATTTTAAATTACATTGTTTAATGTTTGAGCCAAGCTGTTGCAGTGCTATCAAAATTGATATAAAATTGATATAATCTTAAATAATATATTCAAATCTTTATTGTAATGTAGTTTGCTTCATTCAATCATTTAAAGGTAATACAAAGTTTTGGGAAATTTTGAAAATTGGGTGGATAGTGATTCTTTACAATTTTTATATATTTGGATGCCCCTGTGGATGTATTATAAGCACTAGAAAATGTAGCCCCTAAAACACTTCTGCTTTTGAGAAAAATTGAATATAAAAATTTACCGGTGCTCCCGGTAAATTTTGATAAATTTCAAATAGCGCATACGGCCGTACTATGGTAGTTGCGACCATGAAAATCTCAGAATATGCAGTTGTGATATATAATTTCCAAATGGGAATAGCCAATTGGTCGATTTAAGTCAAGAAACATTGTTTCTTAGCTAAATGAATATATTGAACTTGAGAGGGAGCTATACAACATAAAGAGTTTATTATTTACAATTTCATAACTTTAGACTCGATTTCAACCGGAACAACGGTCACTGAATATTGTAGGATCGCATATGCTTCAAATATTTTCATTTAAACCAAATTCATGACCCCATACCAAAACCTTGTATTACCTTTAATATTACTCTTTCATTCTGCACAAGTATCGAAAAAGGCAAAAGGAAAAAAAACTTGAATATACCCAAGGTCAGAATAACCAAAGGAAACTTTTCAGTTTCATATGTAGGCAGTTCTTTATGGAATGATTTTCCACTTTACAAAGACATCCAGATCTTGCTTCAAGAAAGCACTGATAGAGTACCTTTTAAATGAATAAAATGTACTTATAAAATTCTAGTTATTTGATATTTGACTTTTCATCCATTTATACAATTGTTTTATAGTTGTGTTTTTAATTAGCTTTACTACATGAAACATTTCGAATTTGTTTATTCTAAATGTTCCGGTATGTACCCAAGCAGTGTTTTTCATGTTCGAAGGTACCAGGCTCGTTTAGCATTCATGCTATTTTCTGGTTCCTGTTTATACCTATTGTTAAGCGTTCATTATTGGATAATACATTCCAAGTTCAGTTCAGTTTGTTATGTATCCATGGCACAAAACAATGTTGACTTGCCCCGTTACATAATACATAGAAATGTATTACCTAATTAAACCGGAAAATAATAACATAGTATTTGTTCAGGGGTGGACAATGGCGGGCACCTTGGGCACACAGGGGCCAAAATCTAAGTCCTGAACCCTCAAGTTTTGGAGTCTTTACAGAAGAACTCATGTACACAGACTGTAAATGGTTCAAGTCGGACCCCCTATAGGAAATAAGTTAGTGTGAAGCCCTGCTTTGGGGGCAATTTTGTAGAGTGCCAAAAAAAAGGTGTTGAAGTCTTCCACTTGGTATGATCTTCGTGTATTGGATATATGTTTACATTGCATATATGTTTGTACATGTATGTTTGCTTTTGTTATGTAATATGTATCAGTATTACTTTTGCTTTCAACTCTGGTAGAATTAATGTAGAAATTCCAATGACTGCACAAAAATACA